AACAACAACAGCAGCAGCGGCAAATAACAAAACAAAAAACAGTGGTTAGAGTTGGAATATATACAGCCTGGAGTGCTATGTCAGATTTCTAGATTGGCCCAGCCAGGACTGGGAGGTGAAGCTGGGTGGGCATGGTGAGAGTTACCTTCTAGATAAGTGACCCCCTTGGGGGGACGGTGCCTGGACTGAAGACTTCTGAGATTGTTGCATCATCTAGGAGTCCTGAGCAGAGCCTGAGGTGGTGAGGGAGGTGTGTTCGAGGTGGCTGGTTGTAGGGCCTTGGGTTTAGGGTGGGGCAAGGCCATGCAGAATTGTGCTGCAGTGGAAATGTCTCGGGCTCTTACAGGCAGTGCAGCTGACATTGAGCGGGTCACTCACTGGGGTTAGGGCAGAGAGAATTCCTGAGGCTGTGATAAAGATTCCAGCACCTCTATGCAATGATGAGGCTCAAAATATCTCATGTTTTTCAAAACCCAGGACTGAGCAGTCTAGCTAGACACTAGCCTGATGCTGGGGAGGGTTCTGCAGGTTGCATACTCTAGAGCACAGGGCTATCACAGTTTCAGAGTCATGAGTCACGGCAGGCTTAGAAGTTCTCCAGAAAGGGTTTGGATCTGTAGATTAGGGACTCCCAAGGTAAATTTCAATATATGACTGCTCTGCTGGGCTGGACTGGCTTTGCATCTTGTGTTTATGCACCTGATCACCAGAGAAGGTGTAGCATTGCTCAGAGGACGCCACAGTGCTCACATAAGCATTTAATCTGTTAAATCTCAGTCATTAAAAGAATCTAGGGCCAGGCACAGTGGCGCATGCCTTTAATCCCAGCTTTCGGGAGGCAGAAGCAGGCAGATCTCTGTCAGTTTGAGGTCAACCTGGTCTACAGAGCTAGTTCCAGGACAGCCAGGGCTGTTACACAGAGAAACTCTGTCTCAAAAAAGAAAGGAAGGAAGGAAGGAAGGGAGGGAACGAGGGAGGGAGGGGAGGGGAGGGGAGGGGAGGGGAAGCTAGGCCTGGAAGAGCCGTTGGGGCCCGAGGAAGTCTTCCCAGCACCTTTCAATGCAGCCAGCCTGCTCCCTGTCCTTCCCTGCAGTTGGTTTCTTTCTCCTCTTTTTCAGGGAGATTCTGGGAGCCCCCTTGTCTGTGAATCTGACAACACATGGATCCAGGTGGGGATTGTGAGCTGGGGCATCAACTGTGGTCAAGTCTCTGTCCCCTCAGTTTACACAGACATCGTGGAATACAATGAATGGCTCAAATATATTTTAAGTCAGACTTCCTGTGTGGATTCCATGGGAGTCTTGGTCCTATCCCTGTCTCTGGTGCTGCAGCTGGCCATCCTGGTAATGCTGTGACCCCCTTAGCCCACTGTCTTCCTGTTGGTTTTGAGTCTCCCACTAGGCCTCTTCTCCAATCTCATTTCCCTCTCTCTGCCCCGTCTTCAGATTCCAGTCAGGATCCATTGCCCCGGGGAGAGCCATAATGGACTGTGGCCGAGTGTCCCGACTGATGTTTGGGTCACTTATCTCAGACACACCCATACCTGATTGTTCTTGCCTGGTGGGAATGAGAGTGAACTGACCCCAATGAGAGAGCCAGCTTGACTGCTAGGTGGAGCACAACAACTCTTAACGTTATGGAGGACACCTGCCAAGAAGAGAGACTGGCTCTGTGTCACACAGCTCAGTGACTGCTGAAAGGGGTGGGGGTGGGGGTGGGAGGGAGGGAGGGGGGAGGGACGGAGGGAGGGGAGGGGAACATTGCCAGCTCCCTGCAGAGGTATGAAGCTGGGACTTAAGTATGTGAGGCTGGCAGAAATTCCCTGTGGGGTCTGTCAGTGAGTGTACAAGCTCTGCCTCATAGGTTTCATGAAAGGACAATCCTGCCCGGCACCCCCTTCCTCAGGCGATCACATCCAGGGTCACCCTAAGTTGTGTTGAGGCAGTTTTGCAGTGGGGAGCTTTCAAATATGAGCCGAATAAATGTTTGGAGCGTGTCCTGTGTCCTGAAAGCTCTGCTCACCTGGGGTATTTGGGTCTTTGGCCGCTCAGAGAACTGGATCCCCATTTACCTGGGGAAGTTACTTGCAGTTTGTAGTAAAGCACAGAAGAGATGAGGCTGGCTAGCTCAGACCTGAGTCCTATAGGTGGTTTTGGTAGGCGGTCCTGCCACCTGCGTGCCTGATGTGGTTATCGGTGATCAGCGTCTGGGCAGGCAATGTAGCTGAGCTATACCACTTTCCAAGCTGGGAGCAGGGGCTTGTGTGGGGGGGGGGGGGGGGGCAGGAGCTGGGAGCAAGAACGAAGCTGGGGCCTGAGAAACAGTCTTTCTTTCTTTTTTTTTTCTTCCGGAGCTGAGGACCGAACCCAGGGCCTTGCACTTGCTAGGCAAGCGCTCTACCCCTGAGCTAAATCCCCAGCCCCTCTTCCTCTTGTTTTTATTATTTATTCATTTGTCCTTCCCTTCTTGCTCTTCATCTGACTTTATTTCCAAGGGCCGTGGTCCCAAAGTCAGGAGGATTTTGAGAGAGATTCACTGCATTCCGCACAGCTTCCTCCATCTCCTACACAGTCTGACTGTAGATGTGTTCCCCAGTCTCCTCCAACCCCCCCCCCACCCTTTGTCTTTCCAGGGCTCCGTGTTTCACTGTCCTGTTCCCCATGGCTTCGGTGTGCATTCAGTTCCAACCACTGCCAAAGGTTGGATGAATCTGACAAGTTTACATCAACCTCCTCTTTATTTTTTTATTTTTATTATTTTTTTTTATTTTTGAGACAGGATATCACTATGTAGCCCTGTCAGACCCACCTCTTAATGAACACATGCATCACCAGATACTTGAAGAAACCATTGGACCCAGGGCAGAGGAGGTAGTGTTTGTCCATATCCCTACCGCTTGGAAGGTAGAGGTAAGGACAATCAGTCGGTCCTTTGCTACAAATTGAGTTTGAGGCTAACCTGGGATGCATGAAGTGCTGTGTCAAAACAACAGCAAGACCCCCAACCACCTCCACCCTGCAGAAACCACTGGCTCTTCATAGACTAACACCCCAAATTTCACGCTGTTCACTACAGCAAGTGAGTCTATGTCAAGAGAGAGCATTTCCCTGTTATAGAGTTCTGCTCTTAGCCTCATGGTCCATTCTTCACCTGTGTGAGCATACTCTGAGGGCTTGTTAAAATCCACATTACTGCCAGGAGTGATGGGACACATCTGTAATCCCAACACTTGGGAGGCAGAAGCAGGAGAATTACCACAAGTTCAAAGCCAGCCAGGGATACACAGAGAGGGCCCTGTCTAAAGAGAAATACAATCCACATTATTGGTCTCACCAAGGAAGTTTTCAATCCTGGAAGTCTGGGCCAAGGCTTGAGGATGAAGGTTTCTAGCAAGTTCCTAAGGTGCTGCTGATGTAGCTGCTGAGAGGACCTAACTTTGGGGACCAAATGCTGGCAGAAGGACAAGTGTCTCTTGCCTACCTTGCCGTGTAAGTGGCACAAGTTACTCATTCAAACTCACTTAAATGCCAAGCTGGGGGGCTGGAGAGATGGTTCAGTGGTTAAGAGTTTCCATGGGACCCCAAGTTTGATTCACAGAGCCCACATGGTGGCTTCTAACCATCTGTAACTCCAGCCCTAGGGGATCTGATGCCTTCTGGCTTCCGTGGGCATCAGGCACACATGTGGTGTACAGACATATATGCAGACAAAACACTCGCACACATAAAAAATAAAATTAACAACTTTTGGTTTTGTATTTCAAGACAGGGTTTCTCTGTGTAACAGTCCTGGCTGTCCTGGAACTTACTCTATAGACCAGGTAGGCCGGGAACTCAAGAGATTCACCTGCCTCTGCCTCTCCAGTGGGATTAGAAGTGAGGGCCACTACTGTGGTTAAATAAAAAAAAAAATGCTGACTGGGTGGTGGTGGCACACGTCTTTAATCCCAGCATTTGGGAGGCAGAGGCAGGCAGATTTCTATGAGTTCGAGGCCAGCCTGGTCTGCAGAGCGAGTTCCAGGACAGCTAGGTCTGTTATACAGAGGAACCCTGTCTCAAAAACAGACACACAATGTTTAAATGCCAGACTGGGTGATAGGATCTCAAGAGTTCTGCTGGACACCTGGAACTAAGCAGGAAACAGGAATTTGGGTGGTCATCTCACAATCTATGCTCTGAAGATCCAAAGAGATCATCCCACCGTGGAAAGCCCCGTTTATGCCCAAGGCCGGGCACAAACAGCTGCTCCTTTTCAGTGGTGACAATCCTTCATGTTGTTGGTCTGAGGAAGAGGACAGCTGCTCTGCTTCACTCAGCACCCTGTCCCCAACCCTGCCCACTCCTTGGTTTAGTCTTAGATCCAATTCAGCCATTACTTTCTTTCTTTCTTTTTTTTTTTTTTTTTTTTTTTTTTTTTTTTTTTTGGTTTTTCGAGACAGGGTTTCTCTGTGTAGCTTTGCGCCTCTCCTGGAACTCACTTGGTAGCCCAGGCTGGCCTCGAACTCACAGAGATCCACCTGGCTCTGCCTCCCGAGTGCTGGGATTAAAGGCGTGCGCCACCACCGCCCGGTTTACTTTCTCAAAACCATCTTCCCGAGCAATTTTGTTATTTTCTGTTCTTGGGCTTTCCCGGTCCTTGTCAATAGTGACCATGAAACTCCTTGGGCAACAGGCCCAGAGAACAAGAGTATATAGCCTGAGGCTGCACAAGAGGCTGTTCCTGGCTCAGGGATCTTTCACCAGTTCGGCCCCGGATGCACCGCCACACTCTTAGAGCACTGGGGTTGTTTTCGTAGATCTGTAATCTGAGATCCACTCCCAGTCAAAGGATCTGAAATCATCTTAAGGACCAGATAGGGTCCAGGTGCGAGAATTTGAAAGCCCTGAAGAGGCGTGGCCAGGCTCTGGGCGCTATCACGTCACGTGTCTAAGACGTCATCACGTACGGGGTGAGGGCACGTGGCAGCACGCTGGTGCTGTCTCCGCAGCCCATAGATACTGATGGCTACGTCGTTGTGTGGCCTGGGTGCTTGGCCTGGATCCTTGAGGCCCTGGGTCTTAACCTGTCTTGTGACGCTGATGTTGCTGCCTCCGCCTTCAAATGCAGGTGAGGCAGGCACCTTCTCTGCTGCCCCTTCTGGGTCCTCTCCAGCCTTGCTCAGGTTGGCTCTTCCTTTCCAGCCACTTGGAACTTGTGTGCGCCATCCCCCACTTCGCTGTCACCTCTCTTCTGCTACCCATTCCTAGGTGCCTCAGGTCACAACTGCCCTGTGGCCTCCTGGAGACAGCAGCGGGGAGCGTCCCTGGCCTCTTCCTCCATGCTCAGGCACCTTCCATATCTCCAGCCTCTCAAAAGGATGATATTCTAAACGTTGGCTTCTTCCCATCACCAGCCCTCGAGTGCTGTCTTTTCAGACTCTTCCCCCCCAGTCCCCAGTGATCCCTCCAAATCTAAAGACTCTGTAACACTAACCAAAGCCACTTCTTCGCCGGTGGGAGTATGCCTCCGGAGCGGAGTGGAGCTGGAGCGGGGGCTGAGAGGTGCTGCTTACACTGGTCATGCTCATCCGTCCAGGCGGATTCATTGCTTTGCTCGAACGTCCCTCCGAGTGTGCTGCCAGCCTCCCCGAGAGTCATTATCACTTCGTGCTTCCTTCGGGCATTTTACTTCCCACGCAGTCCTCAGCCCATTCCTGACCTGTCCTTGTCCTTATTGCTGGTTTGGTTTTTTATTGCTCCCCCCCCCCTCTTTTTATTTCCCGTGGCTCCTCCCCCAACCCTTTCCAATCCTTTTTTTCTCTTTTTATTTGGGGAGGGGGACAAGGTCTCATGAACCCTAGGATCCATGTAGCTGAGGATAGCCTTGAAGTCCAGAACCTCCTGACTCCACCTGCTAAGTGCTGGGATTACAAGCACATGCCACCTTCCCAGCTTTCTGAGTCTTGGGTTTCCGTAGAATCCCTCTCCTCCATGCCCACGCCATGCCCAGTCTCTGCTTACCTCTGACATAGGATGTTTCGGAAGGGGCTGTTTGATTCCTTCCCCCTCTTGACTCCCTGGTTTATGTCCTGCCACTTGCCCCAGGCATGGAGCTGCAGTGTGTCAAGGCACCCCTAAAACAATGGCCTGCAGGCACACCCACCTGCTGGACCTCTTCCCCGGAACCATCCCGAAGCATCTCACTTCTTTGGTGTCCATGCCAGACTCTCATTTTCCTGAAAACTGGCTTGCTTTCTTAGTTGTCTGTCTTAGTGAATGACAGCCCCCCCCTCCCCGTCTCTGAATTCAGAAACCAGTGCCTCTAGACCAACCCACGTACCTCATCACGTCTGTTCTCAGAGCCTCCTCCAGATCCCTCACTGCTTGCCCGAGTTCTGCAGAGACTCTATGGAGATCTCACTACCGTCTGTCCTACCACTTTCCTGGCTCTGCCCTGCTGCCTTCATGATACAGTCCACACGGTCCACACCTCCACTGGCCTCCCAGAGCCTCTCAGCCTGGCTCATGTGGCCCTCTCTGGTTGGCCTCTGATGCTCATCTCCAGACATTATTTACTTATTATTTTTTTTTGCCATTATTTTTCTCTTCTACCACAGACATCATTTTTGTCCTCCAAAGGCTCTGGAATATACTATTGTGTTTCTCCCCGGAGGGATTTTTTTTTAAATCAATTTTATTTGTTTGTCTCCTCTCCACTGTCTCTTAAACCTGCCCCCTCTTCTGGAGTCACCTGACGTCTCTGGCCCTGTCCCAGTCCTGATCTCACGTGGTAGTTATGTGTTTACTGTCTCAACAGCTGGGCAGCATGTGTCCCCAGACAGGCTCTATTTGATACAGGTGTTTCCTAGCCTGTGACTTCAGACTGGGGAACAGCATCAGATTAGGGGCGATTTGGTGAGCGAGTGAGTGGACTAATTTATAAAAAATGCACCGCTTTACTCTATCCCTTTGCAAGTTAGAGCTTCATGTCTGCTCTCCCTTTCTCCTTCAGGTGATAAAGAGAACCGCAACCAACCAGGTGGGTCAGTGGGTCCCTGTGGCAGGGAAAGTTCCAGTTCCTGGGGAAAGTACGTTCTGAACGTCTCTGCCTAACTAGCATTTCTGGCTTGGTAGGAAGCAAGTATTGGATGTACTTCCTAAACAGCACTTGTCGATCTAGGACATGACCCGAACTGCTTAGAAGAAAGAGCACCTAGGTCTTCCATGAGAATGCAGGGCTACTTTGAATTCGGCTCAGGCTTGAGCCTCTCCTACAGTTTCATAAGGAACTACCTGGGGCACTGTCTGCTGAGCCTGGTTCCTGGGGCTTCCTGTCTTCCTTCCCCCTTAGATCCAGGGAGCTCATGGCTGAGTCCATAGGTCTCCATGGCCTTGGATTCTGTCAGGACTCCACTAAGGTTCACTATTGACTAAGCGGTTAATTTACTATGTTCTTGCTTCTGGCCAAGCCTCACTCCTTCCTGGTTTCCCTCTGTAATTCAGTCTCATTTAAGATGGAGAGTGTGTGTGTGTGCGCGCAGGTGCACAGGCTTGTGTGTGAGAATGTGTACGAATGCATGTAGAGAACAGAAGTCAAACTCAGGTGCTGTTCCTCATGCACTGCCCACTTTGTTTCTGGAGACAGTCTCTCATTGGTTGGGAGGTTACCGGTTAGGATTAGACTGGCTGGCTGGCGAGCACCAGGGATCTGCCTGTCCTGCCTCCCCAGCACTGGGATTACAAGCCTGGACCACCATGCCTGGCTTTATTCTGTGCTGGGGACTGAAGTCGGGTCTTGGTGCTCACACACCAAGCACTTTCCCAGCTGAGCGCTCTCCCAGCCCCTAAAGATGTTTTTATTTGGACATAGAATTGTTTTTGTTCATTTTTATTTTCTGGGCGTGTGTGTATGTGCCTTATGTCAGAAGAGGGTGCCAAGTCGCCTGGAACCACAGTTCCAGATGATTGTGAGTCAACATGTTGGTGCTGAGGGCCAAGCCCGAGAGAGCAGCAAGTGCTCGTCATGGCTGAGACATCCCTCCAGCCCCTTGCTAAGTTTTCCAGTTAGTATGCAGTCAGTTTTGTTACAACACTTTCAACATGTTTGTGATTTTACTTTGTCATAGTCTTCCCTCTCACTCACCCTTTCTTTTCAAAAATGTTTTGAGGTTTTCTTCCTCTTCTTTATTTTTTTTGTTTTTATTATTTTATTTATTTAGTAGAAATAGGATTGCTCTACATAGCCCTGGCTATCTTGGAACTCACAGAGATCTACCTGCCTCTGTCTCTCTAGTGCTGGGATTAAAGGTGAGTGCCACCACTCCCGGCAGCACACTGTACTTTATTTAGAATCTCTGCACCTATGTTTATTCATTCATTCATTCATTCATTCATTCATTCATTCATTTATTCATTTATTCATTCATACATACACCTTAACTGGTAGGCCAGGAGGCAAATTAATAATTGTGGGGTCTAGGCTGCTGAGGGTAAAGACCTCTCACAGAGAAATTCATAGTTATTTTTTTCCCACTCTGACCAGTGCATGGACTTTTTGCATCAGAGAGATGCAGCCAACAGGGCAGCTTTCCAAGAACATGGTCCAGTGCAAGAAAAGCATTTTCCATCTTGAAACTCCTGCTCTGTGTCTGCATTGTTGTGAGGTTCGGCATGGATGGCCTTCTGTGGATCTTATTCTCACTCTCCAGCTGTTGGTCTCTCTGTCTCTTCCTTCCTGCTCTTATCTTTGTGACTGTCATTTTTTTGTCTAGTTCGGTGCCTTTGGGGTCCACTGTCCTCTGTCCCTCAGTGTCTTCTCTTTGAAGTGGGAAGAAGCCCCTGATAGAACAGTCTTGGCAACCTGACCCTGGAGGGCGACTTGTTACTACTCATTCTGATTTTCCTCTCTGTGGACACGCTGCTCTCCGCAATGCTTGTTCTGAAGTTTGTGGCAAGCCCTGGTGGCCAGACAGTTTGAAGAAGTTCCGCCATTGGCCCTGGGAAGTGAGCGTTCGCATAGAAAATGAACACGTGTGTGGAGGGGCCCTCCTTGATTTCAGTTGGGTGATCTCTGCAGCTCACTGCATCCAGGGGTGAGTGTGACCCATGGTTCCAGGATCTAGAGGCCTAGCACTACCATGGGCCCAGCCCAGCTTCCTCAGAACTTCTATGAAACGATACAGGAGATGGGAAGAGTCACCAGCACAGGGAAAGAGTCAGGCTCAGGATCTCACAGATCTTGGGACTACGTTGGGGTGGAACCCCAAACAACAGAGACTGTATCCTAAGCTGGGCAACAGGAAAATCCAGACCCCCACCCCAGGAGTGACACCCACACACCTTGACTCAATGGGACTGTGAATGAAAGGGCTGTTATGATTTTGACTATGAGTGCCCAGACTGAATTAATCCAGACTGAGTGGACAGAGTATGTCTCTCGGGACTTCAGGGAAAGGAAGGGTCCTGGGAGGAGGCAGGTGCATAGTTGTGTGGGAAACGGATGTCTGCCAGGTGGGCTTCTGTATCTCCTGCAGCCACAAAGAATACTCAGTGATGCTGGGTAGCAGCAAGCTGCAGCCCAAAGGCTCTTCCTGGGCCCGGAAGATTCGTGTGGGTGACATCATTTTACATCCCAAGTACTGGGGCCGGAACTTCTTCAGACACGATATTGCCCTTCTCCATCTGGATATTCCTATCACCTACAACAAGTATGTGCAGCCCATCTGTCTCCCAGAGTACAACTTCAACTTGAAGGTTGGGACTCAGTGCTGGGTGACTGGCTGGGGCCAGACTAAGAAGCACTCCTCGGGTAAGTTGGATGGGTTTGGGGATGTCCCTTTGGGCCTTTGTTGCCCCATCCCTTGTGGCGCCTTTGAGGAGGCTCTGGCTGTGGTCTCCAGCCTGCGGTTTGGAGTGTGTTAAGCTCTCGTCACGTGGTGTTTCACTGTTACAATTCACACAGGCGCTGCAGTCAGGCTAGCACTGCTTGGGCTGGGTGAGCATCTGCCTTGCACAGAAACTTGGAGCTAGGAAGCCATCCAGTCCCGTCCCGTCCGTGTCCTGTGTCGTACCCCCACCCCACCCCCCATCCCCCCACCCCACCCACCCCCCCACCTCCCCCACCCCCCCCACACCCCCCCCACCCCCCCACCCCACCCCCCATCCCCCGGCCACAACTGAAACAGCTGCCATGCTCTGAGCCCTTGGCATTGGAATGCATGCCCTGCCGGAAAGGGAGTCACAGAGTGGGGGATGGGGGTGGGTGGTAAAGAGGCTGACAAAGAAAGTGTCGAAGAAGCCAGGTACATTGATGAATGCCACCTGTAACCCCAGCATGAGGGAGGTGGAGCCAGGGAGTGATGAGTTCAAAGCCAGCCTTAGGTACATAAGTTTGATACCAGCCTGGGCTGTATGAGACTGTTTAAAAACAAAGCAAGCAAGGCAAAGACCTTGTCAGAGGATCTTGAGGTCAAGGGCAGGGGATCTGAGCCAAGCTCTGAGTAGATAGATGACCAGAAATGCCTAGAGAAGCAGCTGTCAGTTGGGACTAAGGGAACAAATACTGGTGAAAGAAAAAAAGAAATCACAGGGTTGGAGTCCCAAGTTGTAAGTGGCCGTGCTGGGACTTGGTAGCCTTCTGGGTTTAGCAGCAAAAGCTTCCTTGAGAAGGGGCTCCGAACCAACCTCCGCATGGTGAAGAAGGGCTCCCTGTGTGGTGAAGGGCTCCCTGTGTGGTGAAGGGCTCCCTGTGTGGTGACAAGCCTCGCATGGTGAAGGGCTCCCTGTGGCAGGCCTACACTGTAAAGAAAGACCACGTGAAGGAAGGTGCCTAGGTGTGGTGGGGCAGAGCTCAGTGGACCTGCAGGGCTGAGTGGAGGGAGTGAGGGGTCACAACTTATCCATTATGTGCCCTACAGACAACTTGACACTGACTCCAGAGCTCTGGGAGGCAGAGGTATTCATTATGGACAACAAAAAGTGTGACCGTGTTTTCCACGAGAAGTCCTTCTATCCCCGAGTTATCCCCCTTATCCGGAAGAACATGATCTGTGCCACTAATTATGGAGTGGACTCGTGCTATGTGAGTTTCTGGGGGCTTCTTGCTGATCCTCTTTTCTCTGGGACTGCTGTTGGCTGCAATTCCTAAGTGTGGTCTCCAACTGAGAAGCTGAAGGGGCCCCAGCTGGTGAGCTCCTGGAGGAGTGATTCTCTCAAGCTAAACTGAGGGGTGGGTGTTGAAGGTCCTGTGGTTCCCGCAGAGCCTCCACCCCTCCTTTGTCTTTGCCTAGGAGGATCCTGGGGGGCCGTTGGCTTGTGAAATTGACGGAAGATGGATTCTGGCTGGGGTGTTATCGCGGAAGAAGGCCTGCACCACAGCTCAGAATCCAGGTGTATACACTCGCCTCAGCAAATATACCAGATGGATCCAGGAGCAAAGAAACCACGGGGCGCTGCCAGGGCCCTGCAGGGCCTCCTACCCCCTACTCCTGTTCTGGCTGCTGCAGCTCCAGTGGGTCTGTGACTTCTTCACACCTCCTCTTCCTGATTTGCCTCTGCTGAATGGCACTAGGTAGATGATTGATCGAGGCTGCATGTCCATATTCCACAGAAGTCAGGGCAGGAACAGAGTGGTCCCTGGAGAGCTTGGGTCCTCAGGGAGGGGTGTGGTGGATGACTAGGCCTTGAGTGGCCAGGAGAAGGGGACTATGGCTTGGAAGCAACATTCTGGAATTTAAGACAAGAGCAGAGATTAAATATGTGTGAGCATGAGCTGACCCTTTTCCCTCTCTGTTCTTTGGGGGTGTTTCTGGGGGTCAGGGCAGGTGGGTAGGTAGGCATCTAGTGTGGGGGCTCATGGTTTCTGCTGTGTTTCTAGTCCTGGGACAGAGGACTAAGGGCCTGGGCTTGTGGTCTCAGGTTCCTCCCTGTAACAGTGGTCACAGTGTCAGGGCAGTTGAAATATGCCATATGGGCCAACAGTAGGAATAAACCACAGCCAGAGTCTAGCTAGCTAGTTTCCTCCCTCCTTCCCTCCTTCCCTCCTTCCCTTCTTCCCTTCTTTTCGCTTAAAACTGCTTGTGAGAAGTGTGATGCACTTACTGTAGAGAGAAAACACATCAAGGCCTAATTGCCCAATCTGAGTGTTCCATGTGCATTTGAATTGAAAACACTTTTTGAACAAAGTTTGATGCAGAGGGATCAGCCTTCTGCAGGTCAGAGAGACTGGGAATGAGATGCAGAGTCAGTGAGAAAAACACACAGACTTCTTTCCTGAGGAATGAAAGCTGCTTCTTTATGTTATTATTATCTTGTCCTTGTTCTGCTCTGTTCTTTTGTTCTGTTCTTCTACCTGATGTTTCCCTTCCTCTGCTTTCCTGATGTCTTCTTCCTCCTCCATCCTTCCTGATGTCTTCCTCCTCCATCCTTCCTGATGTCTTCCTCCTCCATCCTTCCTGATGTCCTCCTCCTCCATCTTTCCTGATGTCTTCCTTCTCCATCCTTCCTGATGTCTTCCTCCTCCATCCTTCCTGATGTCTTCCTCCTCCATCCTTCCTGATGTCTTCCTCCTCCATCCTTCCTGATGTCTTCCTCCTCCATCCTTCCTGATGTCTTCCTCCTCCATCCTTCCTGATGTCTTCCTCCTCCATCCTTCCTGATGTCCTCCTCCTCCATCCTTCCTGATGTCTTCCTCCTCCATCCTTCCTGATGTCCTCCTCCTCCATCCTTCCTGATGTCTTCCTCCTCCATCCTTCCTGATGTCTTCCTCCTCCATCCTTCCTGATGTCTTCCTTCTTTATCTTTCCTGGTGATTTCCTTCTTTCTTCTTTTATTTTTTCCCTTACAGCTTATATACCTCAACAGAATCTTTCAAGCAATATAAAAGTTACACTGTGGTTATGTGGTGATATATTATGTACCCAAATAAAACTTGCCCAAGGATCAGAGGACAGAGCCAGCCACTCGATTAGACAGAGAGGCCAGAGAGTGGTGGCACACACCCTTAATCCTATCACTCAGGAGGCAGAGATCCATCTGGACCTCTGTGAGTTCACTGGAAACAGAGCCAGGCAGTGGTGGCACACATCTTTAATCTGAGTACTAGGAAGCACACACGCCTTTAATCCCAGGAAGTGACAGCAGGGCAGGGAAAGGTGTATAAGGTGTGAGAAACAGGAACTAAGGTAGTTCAGCTCAGACCCTTTTAGGTGAAGACTCAGAGGATTTCAGTTAGATGATTCGTGGAGTTCATGAGGTAATAAATAGATGGTGGTTGTGGCTTGCTCTGCTTCTGATCTTTCAGCTTTTACCCCAATATCTGGTACTGGTTTGTTTTTTTTTTTATTAAAAGACCATCTAAGATTCGAACAACAGTGGTTACATTTTATTTTTTAAGTGAATGATTACAATGACTACAAGTAAAAACAACAACATATTTTTCATATCCCTTACATGATCAACCATTTTACATATTACAGGTGAAAAACAGGACTTTTCATAGATCAGGAGCCTTTCAGCCATAACCATTTACATAGGCAGAGGTTTCTGTAATTGCCACAAAACAGGTTACTAGTTTCACTTTCCATATTTTAGAGCTCAGTCCAATTATCTTAACTAACCATACAATCTTTGTTTTCTAGTTACATGAACTTAATTGTTTAAAGCTTTATTTTAGCTATGATGCACACTGAAACCCATAAACACATTTCCCAATATCAGAAAAAACGTAATCTAACTCCTGGGACTTAGTTGTTTTTCTTAATCACTAGCCTAAACCATAGTCTATACGGCTCCTCAAGAGAAACTCATAAGCCCTAGCTTCGTGACACTTCCTTGTTCCTATTTTCTATCCTCTGCAGCCCCTGCTTTATCAGGAGCAGGGGTAACACTTTAAACAGTACAGCGTCAGAGGAAACCATCTTCATAATAATCTGCAGGTAAAAATGCCAGCAGAACAGGGTATTTCCATGAGATAATCACACTGCATTAAAGGCGGTGGGGATCCCCCCCTCCATCCCCCTGCCCCCCCCCCCCATTCACACCGTGCCAGATACCAGAGAAAAATGGCAGCGGCAAACATAAAGACACACCACTAGGCCGGGCGGTGGTGGCGCACGCCTTTAATCCCAGCACTCGGGAGGCAGAGTCAGGAGGATCTCCGTGAGTTCGAGGCCAGCCTGGGCTACCAAGTGAGTCCCAGGAGAGGCACAAAGCTACACAGAGAAACCCTGTCTCGAAAAACCAAAAAAAAAAAAAAAAAAAAAAAAAAAAGACACACCACTAGCAGGAGACATCCTGGAGCTGAAGCCCTCGGGGCCTTGCCTGTCTGAGATTTGCCCGTCATTGCCTTGCATTCTGGTGGGCCGATCTCCTGAAGTCAATCCCCATCTGCTGCTCCTCTGCCATGGCCACCGGCAGTTGAGCTGCAGCTACTTGGTTCATGCTTGTCAATTGTATTCTTCAGTTCTTGTCAACACCTCATGTATTTACACCTGCACAATCTGTGTGTTTCTGAGAGCCTTCTCACAAAATAAGGATCTGTCTGTTTCTTCTTAGAGTTCTGTTTTACATAGTTTGGAGGATGGTCTATGACAGCCATACTTTAGGTTTAAATGAGTAAATTTATTAAGTATATAACAAGCCAAACTAAAAGAATAAATAGTAAGTGATAGGTAGATGGTTAGATGATGGATGGATGGATGGATGGATGGATGGATGGACGGATAGATGATAGATGGATGGATAGATGGATGGATAGACAGACAGACAGACAGATAGATAGATAGATAAGCACCAATGAATGTGGTATTTAAAACACCCAGCAGAAATTGACTAGGAAGTGCTGTTGAAATAGTTGGCTGGACTTCCTGTAAAGAGTCCCGGCAGCAGAGTCCCCTCAGGTGAGGCTTCCAAATAAGAGAACAAATAGAGCCGTCATTATCAAGTCTGACACCCTGTGGTAGCTGACAGTCATCTGCAACTCCTGTTCCGGGGGTCTCATGTCCTCTCTGGCCTCCTTCGGTACCAGGAACACAGACGTATGTGCAGGCAAAACTACCCATACACACACATAATTTTTTATAAAATAGAATTGTATACATCTTCATTAATTGATTACAAATGTACTTGGTTTTTATTTTATTATCTTTGTTCTATTGATCAAATGCCCTCTTCCTTCTCAGAAGAAAGTATTTTGAAAGACAGGACTGGAGAGATGGTTCAGCAGTTGAGAGCACTCCCTCCTGCTACAGAGGACCTAGGCTCAGTTCTCCGCACCCACATGGTGGCTCATAACAGTCTGTAACTTAGGTTCTGTCTCCTTCTTCTGGCCTCTGTGGGAACAGAACACAGGCAGTGTGTGTGTGTGTGTGTGTGTGTGTGTGTGTGTGTGTGTGTGTGTGTGTGTGTATTCAGGCAAACACACTAAAATAAGTCTTTTTTAAAATAAAGTATTATTTTCACAGAGGCAAAACGTTTCTCTTTTTTGGAATTCTCTCCACTCTGTGTATCTCCCTGCTGCGTCGAGGGCATCCGACTGTAGGAATCACCATTTTCTGCATTTCTGCCGCACACTCCTAAGAAACAAGTTTGATTTGCTTGTTCTTGACCATCACACAGCAGGTGCACTTCCATTTCTGACCCCTTTCTGTCAGTGTGTGGACTGCTCAGTGGTAGGGAGCGGTTGGGTGTCTGTTCTCTGAGGCAGCAGGTGGGCAGTTCCACAGAGGCTCCCCACAGCCCCCGTGAAGTCTTGTCCTCCTGACAACTTCATAATGTTTCCAGGAGTGGAGGTTCAGTTGTGGCTTCCATACGTCTGCGTTACTAAATAGTTCTCTACCAACGGTCACACCAGGTCATCTCCCTCAGCAGCAGGTGAAAAATGTGTCACTCTGTGCCTTCAGCAACACTGGTGGCAGGGTGCAGCAGAAAGGGATGCAGTCATGGACACTGGCTACCTCAAGTGGAGAGGTGGGGAGGTGTCCCTAGACACCATTTATTCTGCTGAACGATGAAGCCTGTAAATGGCTGCGTCTCCAGAAGTCTCAGGCCAGCTCTCCACCCTACACCCTCCCCAGGACCTGCTCTGTTTTGAAAATACAGTCCCTGAGGACAAAAGGAAGTCTCTAGTTACACAGAAGAAGAAGAAGTCGTGTTTCAGTTTCCACACCTCGAGGGGCTCCTCAGAGGCAGCAGAGGTGAACACTGGGGGAGCTTGTAAATGGAAGTTTCTTGTCCCAACCACCTGGTCCCAAATAACCGACTCAGAGGCTGAATATAAATTATAAATGATTGGTTGATAGCTCAGACTTGTTACCTGCTAACTCTTATGTTTAAATTAACCCACATTCTTTATTTATGCTCTGCCACATGGCAGTACCTTTATTAGCATGGCATGTTCATCTCCTGCTCCCTCTGCATCTGGCTGGCGACTCCTGACTCCACCCTTCTCCTTCCCAGCATCCTTCATTTGGTCGCCCCACCTAAACTTCTTGCCTGGCTACTGGACAATCAGCGTTTTATTAAACCAGTTTGAGTGACAGATCTTTATAGTGTACAAGCAGGAGCTTCATAGACTAACCACAAGGCACTGTCACAAACCACACACCTGGTGCTATCAGGAGCCAAACATGGGACAAGTTCATGGGCTCAGAGCTAGATGTGAGGGCACCATCAAGGCTGAGAGCTGGGTTCTGTGGATGTTGTAATGGATCAGGTGTGGTTGCAGGCTCAGTGGTGAGCCCCCAAAATACTGTCCCAGGGAGGTTTCTGATAGCCTCCATTCATGACTGTGGAAGGCTCTTGAGGCTGCTTCAGCAGGGTGAGCCCCAAACCCTAGGGCAGAGACCTGTTCTCTACACTCCTGAATAAACAACTGAATTCTAGAATCCTTGCACCATGGAGATGCTCCATCTTGTTCTAAGGAACGATAAGGGCTGGACTTCTTGCCATGGCGTGTGGATCAGTGGGTCCTCAGGGTCTTCTTCCACAACCACTTTCTTCTGCCAGATTTGACAATCTACCCTATGTGGAAGGTAAGGCATGGACAGAGGCATGGAGGGATCTGATAGCCTGCTGTCTACATCCACTGTCCTGCCCGCAGGGCCTCCACTGGTCAGTACTGGGATGGGTGCATCCTCAGTAGACTGATGAAATAGACGTGGGCTGTGACCTTTCGGGACCCACATGACCCATACAGTGTGGGGCCAGTTCCAGTTTTCAGGATGATCACGAACAGATAAAGGAACAAAAATGAGAAACAAACCAGCATCCATGGGATGGATGAGCTTGTCTGGGAGTCTTAGGACTTATGACAATGACTGTGCTGTCTGAGTGTCCTCTGGCGAGACAATTTACACCTCAGCACTGTATGCTGGGGGCTCTGTTTCCACACAGGAAATCTGGGTCCAGTTTTAGTGGTTTGTGAGTTTTAGAACCAGGACTCAACAACAGTTTCCAATAGATGCTTTGGGATTGAAAATAATTAGGTGGCAGAGGATTTCCAGGCTTTTCCTGAGAAAGGTAATTTTTGTGACCTACCTCAGGTCACCTGCTGGCTGTACATTTTGTTCTTGACAGTGAGCTAGCTGGGGTGATAACTGTGAATGGGGGATATATCCCCCAACGTGGGCACTGTCTTCTTCCACCCCTGTGTGACACCCTTTCTCCTGGACTAGCACATTGTTGAATGAGTGACTGAATGAGTAAGTGGGCAGTCTTCTACCCTGAATGCTTTGTGCTCCTGTCAAGTATTAGTGATGCTCTGGGGATGGTTAGGGTATGTGCAGCCTTAGACACAAGCATGGGTGCTAACTGCTTTGCCTCTGGTGAGGGGACAGGAGTCAGCTAGGACCTTACAGAAATGGAGACCTCAAAGCTGATACACATCTTCTGGTGGCTACCTATGAATGCAGAAAAGAATATCAGGATCCTCTTTGTAAGTGATGGTGCCTAGCTTCCAGAACTCCAAGAAAGGGTACCAAGGTCGGAAGTGGGATCTATTTGAATCATTGAGTGTCTGCTACAGATGGAAGGGCAACATTGTGCCTGGGGCAAGGTTGATCTGCAGCACACTGCACCTACTAATAACCCATCACAGCTGGAGAGATGGCTCAGTGGTTAAGAGTGTACTGTTCTTCCAGAGGACTCAAGTTTGATTCCCAGCACCCACATCTGAGGCAGCTCTTGACTGCCTGTAACTCTAGCTCCAGAGGATTCTACACCTGCATTCACATGCACATATTAGTGCACAGACATACATGCAGAGTTAAAAATAATAATGTGACCCGTCCCGCGGGCCAGGTTATTGGGGAGACCCGAGGAGGCACCTCCTGAAAGATCAATGGGGGCGAGAGAGAAAGGAGACCAGACACATAAGGAAGACAAAGTCAGTCTGAGTCGCATCAAGGTCTCGTTTATTGACTGGGTATTGAGGCTTATAAGCAGGACTTCAGGCAGGGAGGGGGAGCAGGGGAAGCAAAAGGAAAGAAGAATGGAAAATTCCTAAGGAAGGGTGAGGTCGCTTTGGTCCCAGGCCCCTGCAGCTGGCTGATTAGCACGTACTCCAGGAAGTTGTACAGCCCGAGGTTAGGCCAGGAACCTGTTTTTGCAAGGTTTGATAAAGTAAGGAAGGTCACACAAAATTCAAGACACAGCTGTCCGGAGTCGGTCCCTAACAGTTCCCCCTCTTTTCTCAAAAATGGACCAAGTCCATTGTGATCGCGGTGGCTAGGGTCCGAGAGAGCCCCTGTCTTAGGCTACACAGGGGGCTTCCCACACTCGGCAGCGTGCCACGTTGAGCTGGTCTCGACGACCTCTGTACGCTGTTGTCTCCGGCGTGAGCCCTGTACTATTCCCGTCATTGGGTACCCTCTAGCAAGACCATGGGGACGTTAGGGCCTTAGGACACTGAATCTGAGTCTTTGATGGGGCTCCTGGCCGGCCTCCTCAGAATCTACTCTGTGATAATGAATCGAGACGTGTCGTGGTAAGGCCAAATCAATCTGATTTTTGATAATCCGAGTCATGGTGACTCATGCCTTTAATCCCAGAAAGCGAGCCTTTAATCCCAGGGAGTGATGGTAGAAAGCAGAAAGGTATATAAGGTGTGAGGACTAGAAACTAGAAGCATTTGGCTGGTTAAGCTTTTAGGTTTTGAGCAGCACAGTTCAGCTGAGATACATTCCAATATAAGGACACAGAGGCTTCCAGTCTGAGGAAACAAGACCAGCTGAGAAGTTGGCCAGGTGAGGTTAGCTGTGGCTTGTTCTGTCTCTCTGATCTTCCAGTCTTCACCCCAATACCTGCCCCAGGTTTGTTTTTATTAGTAAGAACTTTTAAGATTCATACTACATCCTAATCCTTCCCAAACAGTTACCAACTTTGAAAAAGCATTCAAATTTATGAGCCCTTGAGGCAATTCTTATTAAAACCACCACAGGAGCCATAAGGAAGAAACAGGAGCAGCAACCGAAGATGACCATGGACTCACCATGGTGTATGAGACAGTCCAGAACTGTGGCTCTGGGTCAGGGGCAGAGATCAGGGAAATAGGAGACAGGCATGGAGAAGGGGTGTAGATGTGAGTTGAGCAATGAGAAAGTAAGAGTACTCTGTGGAGACCTCGGGGGAGTAGTGCAGCGCCTGTGGATCCCGAGAAGGTCAGTAGCTGAAAGGAAGGACATTCTACCCACAGGAGTCTAAGCAAGGGAACAGGCCATGTATACCGGATAGCAGCAGGAGCCAGGGACGCATGGGATGAAAGAACTCCAACATCATGCATGGGCTGTGCATTAGCTTTGTGTGACAAGAAAATACCTGAGAGCCAGGTGTGATGGCACACACCTTTAATCCCAGCACTCAGGAGGCAAAGGCAGGAGGATCTCTGTGAGTTCAAGGCCAGCCTGGTCTACAGAGTGAGTTCCAGGACAGCCAGGGCTGTACAGTGAAAACCTGTCTCGAACCGTCCCCCCCACTTAAAAAAAGTAACAAAAAATATATGAGACAGGTCTTCAAAGGAAGTAGAAAGATATATTTAGTTGACAGTTTTCAAAATTCAGTCTAAAGATTTGTCACACGGGGTAGAGGTACCCTTTAATGGAGGTAGCGACTGCCTGTCTTGGGAATGAGTACTTGTACAAAGTTAGGAAGCAGAGAGAGGCTGGGTGGGCTTCTACGGTCCTTTGAGGACATGTCCCCAGTGATCTAAAGACCCCCACCAGACCCCATCTCTACGTGTGCATGCTGTTGCCATCAAGATGTTTTTCTCGATCACTTCCCCACCAAATTTCCGGAGACAAGGTCTCAGAACTTGGCACTCCCTGCTTCAGTCAGACTGGCTCTCAGGAGAGCGAGCTCCAAGGATCTCCCTGTCCCTGTTCCTCAGGACTGGGGTTACAGGCATACACTGCCACATCTGGCTGGGAATCCAGACTTCCGTCCTCACGCTTGCCCAACAATATCATACTCACAGAACCATCTTCTCGTCCCTAGACCCCACCTCTTAAAGGTCTATGACACCTCCATATATCACTTCTGGAGGACCAAGTCTTCACATATGGACCTTCGGAAGGGCACTCAGATTATAGTCACACCATAGTGATTTCAGCAAGGTAGGATGTAGTTGATGTTTCTGCTAATGTATACAGGTCATCATAGATATTGCTGTTCTCTATCATCCCCAAACTGTCCCTACCACAGCCCCCCAGACCTGCCTTGGATATAGCTGTTGAGTCCTGACATTGTTCTAAGTGGGTAGTGTACTGCTGAGGGAAATAGACTCATGGCGTGGCAGCTTGTGATGGTGTAAAGTAGGTCCAGTTCCACCTGTTTGAGGAGCTCAGTGGCCACGCGTGATTGCTTAACAGCCCGGACCAGCCGAAGACTCTTCATTAGAAACCCTTTCTTCCTTCCAGGCTTGACAGGGTCCCACTATGTAGCCCAGGCTGGCCTCAGACTCACAGAGATCCGCCGACCTTCGTCTCCGGAGTGCTGGGACTAAGATTGCTCATTACCAGACCCACTTCACGTTTCTTTAATCTTGTTCTGTAACCCTTTCTTATAGAATCATTCTCCTTTTCTTCTACTTTGTAATATTCAGTTGTTAGTTTTGAAATCCCTGTGAAGAATTATTAGTAAATACCAATTCAGGCTGGTCCCATTTAAAAAAAAAAAAAAAAGCCGGGCAGTGGTGGCGCACGCCTTTAATCCCAGCACTCGGGAGGCAGAGCCAGGCGGATCTCTGTGAGTTCGAGGCCAGCCTGGTCTCCAAAGCGAGTTCCAGGAAAGGCGCAAAGCTACACAGAGAAACCCGGTCTCAAAAAAAAAAAAAAAGAAAAGAAAGAAACCTCACTCTTACTGGGCATGATGGCACATGTCTGTAATTCCAGCACTTGGACGTTAGAGAAAGGAAGATCAGGATTTCACTATCACCCTTGGTTACTTTGGCTGCTAGCCTGGGCTGCACTAGACTCTATCTTACAAAACCAAACAAACAAAACAAAACAAAACACAAAAAACAGGGACTGGAATGGTTCCGCATTCAAGAGTGCTGACCGCTCTTCTAGAGGACCAGGGTTTGATTGGCAGCACCCAGGCCAGGTGGCTCACAACTGTCCGTCACTCCAGTTCCAGGGAATCTGATGCCCTCTTATGTCCTCTATTGGTACTGCACACATATGATGTGCAGACATACATACAAGCAAAACCCTCATGCACATAAAAATAAAATAATAAAGAAGCAAAACAAAAAACAAAACTAAAATCTCAATCTCAGCTCCAGTTCATGCAAGCTGCCATCCTCCTATCCCTGTTCTTGAGGCCAGCGAGGGGCAGGCGAGCCTCTCTGTTTCCAGGGTGTGAGCTATGACTGTAGTTGGACAATAAAACAACACTGTCTATGTATTTTTAGAGACAACCAACAGGAATCATGAACACTAGGTCCCATCACTTGCCCCTGGCTGACTATATTAACCTTCTAGTGGTCCTCTCCTCCTCTTCCTCCCCAAGTCATGGGTGAACTATGGGCAGGAATGAGTCCTGGGGTGATGGTTCATAGCAAGGGTCAGACAGTTTGTCTCCATTATTTGGGGGCTTTCTTTATAACGGGCCACCTGCTGCCTCTAGGTTTGTGTTGCCAGTTTCTGAGGCAGTCGTCTCAGTCCCCGACTTGTGCAGATGGCAGTGACCGCGTGGGCCATGGCTGAGAGACGCTTGGACAATCTGCCATGGCCTGTGGGGCTACCCTTGGCATCCCTCTCTCCATCTCTTTCCTCAGGGCCCTGGTTCTGGTCCTGCGGTCAGACCAACATATCCTGCAGGATGGTAAATGGGAAGATGGTAGAAGTGGGCAAGTGGCCATGGCAAGTAAGCATTCTTTTTCTGGGAATGTACGTCTGCAGCGGTTCCCTCATCCACCACCACTGGATCCTCACCGCTGCACACTGCTTACAAAGGTCAGCCTGGGGGTTCATCCTGGTCTGGGGTCTTTCTTTCAGGCCTGCGGGTGGTGGTGAATCTGGGATCTGGGAATAGAGACCATTACCCTAGGCAGCCTAGTGCTCAGAACCCTATCTTTGAACCCTTCCTGGTCTTACTGCCAATCTGCTTCTTCCTGGGCCTGCAGATCCAAGGACCCGGCTAACTACACCGTAAAGGTGGGTGTCCAGAACCTCCCAGATAACAGCTCGGAGCTCATGGTCACTAGGATTGTGATTCACGAGAACTTCAACAATCACATGTCTGACAACATCGCCATCCTGAAGCTCAAGTACTCTGTTGCCTGGTCCCCCCTCGTCCAGCCCATCTGTCTCCCCACCATCAATTTCAAGCCAGCCGTTGGCACCATGTGTTGGGTCATCGGGTGGGGACAAGAAAAGACTAAAGGTGAGTGCAGGAGAGCAGAGGTCACTCATTCTCTTCTGTACTCTGTCATTTGCAAGCATTTCCTGAGCACATTCATCCGCCCATAGATAGATGCCGTATTTGAGCAGCGAGACAAGAGGCCTGTGAGGACCTCGGTTTCCAAAGTTAAAATTATTTGTTTGTTTACTTACTTATGTGTATGTGTGTGGGAGTACATGTACCACAGTGTACACTTGAAGGTCAGAGGACAACCTTCAAGGAGTTGGTTCTCTCTCTATCGTGTGGGTCCCGGAGAGTCAAGCCCAGGTCATCAGGCCTGATGTACTTGCTAAGCCATCTCACCAAGCCCCAAAGTTAACTTAGCTCCTATACCAAGTCTTTAGCCTGCAGCACAGTAGGAACTTAAGTCTTTGGCTATTCACAAGGGATCTGTGTCTGCAGGTATGTTGAGGGCTTTCGCCTCAATATGTTCTGAAGCACTGAGGTGGCCTCTAGTCAATACGCACGCATGATTCTCCGAGAGGCAGCCCTGTCGGTGTTATCTGGAGTTCCTCCAACCTTTCAGCAGGCAGCAGGTGCCACATCTAGCCTCTAGGGTCTTAACACCTTTCCTAAGAGCAGTGCACCAAGGCTTATTCTCACAACACCTGAATGGTTGGGAAATATCTCCTCGTTCTCACTCGTATGTAGGTTTCACTTCATGTCCATCCCTGGGAGACTTTCGCTTAGCTTCTTTCTTTTGTTTTGTTTTATGTTTTTTGGGCTTTTCTTTTCTTTTTTTATTTTTATTTTTTTTTTGGTTTTTGGTTGTTGCTGTTTTTTTTTGTTTGTTTGTTTTGTTTTTGTTGCTTTTTTTTTTTTTTTTTTTTTTTTGTCGGAGCTGAGGACCGAACCCAGGCAAGCACTCTACCACTGAGCTAAATCTCCAACCTCACTTTTTTTTTTTTTTTTTTTTTTTTTTTTTTTTTTTAGGCAGAGTCTCTTTACATAGCCCTGGCTATCCTGGAACTCACTCTGTAGACCAGGCTGGCCTCAAATCAGAGATTCATCTGCCTCTGCCTTCCAAGTGCTGAGATTAAAGGTGTGTGTCATCCCCAGTTCTTGGCTTAACTTTCTTTTTTACTTTTTTTTTTTTTTTTTAGGTTTTTCGAGACAGGGTTTCTCTGTGCAGCTTTGCGCCTTTCCTGGATCTCACGCTGTAGACCAGGCTGGCCTCGAACTCACAAAGATCCGCCTGCCTCTGCCTCCCAAGTGCTGGGATTAAAGGTGTGCGCCACCACCACCCGGCCGCCCTTGGCTTAACTTTCTTAATGAGTAGGGACATTTTTGAAAGCCAGGCTTCGACCTGCAGCTTTTCTGAATGAGCATCTCAGGACATGACCCTGCCTCTCTTTTTTTTGTTTGTTTGTTTTTGTTTGTTTTGTTTTTTGAGACGGGGTTTCTCTGTGTAGCTTTGGAGCCTGTTCTGGAACTCACTCTGTAGACCAGGCTGGCCTTGAACTCACAGAGATCTGTCTGCCTCTGCCTCTGCCTCCCAAGTGCTGGGATTAAAGATGTGTACACCACCACCCGGTGACCCTGCCTCTCACATACACAAATGTGAATGACTCTCTGAGTTGGAAATAGGTTCTAAAGTGGAGGTCATAACTAGATCTTTCTCTCTGTAGAGGCCAAGAAGACCCCCTACAGTGTCCAGGGCTTGGCTGTCAGGATCGTGAACAATGAAATCTGCAATCATCGGTACCAGTTCCTCCTGATGCAGAACCAGAAGACGTTCATTGGGAATGACATGCTGTGCACGAGCTCAGAATGGGGTCTGGACACTTGTCAGGTGTGGGATAACGTGCAGACGGGGTGGGGAGCAGGCCGTGGGGGGGGGTCATGCTTTCCTTTCCATGTGCTCATCAGAGACCCAGTACAAAAGTCTGAGTTTCTGTTTTCTGGTATGGAAAGAAAAAAGTTGTGTTAGTTATCTATGACTGTGACGAAACACCATGACGGGGCGACTTACAGAAGAAAGAGTTTGTATGGGGTTTATGTCCTAGAGGGATGGCAGTCCATCACTGTCCCTGTGGGGAGTGTGGCAGTAGGAAGGCAGGCCTGTCTCTAAAACAGCACCTGGAATCACAAACAGGAAGCAGAGAACACACTGGGGATGGTGGGAAGCTTTTGAACCTGCCCCTGTGACACACTTCCTCCAACAAGGCCACACCTCCTAATCCTTCCGAAGGAAGTATTCAAACATGAGCCTTTCGGGGCCATTCTCATCCAAGACACCACAGGTGTGAAATGGTTTTTGTCCCTGCTACAGACAACTCTGTGTGTGTGTGTGTGTGTGTGTGTGTGTGTGTGTGTGTGTGTGTGTGTGTTTTAAAGATTTATTATGTATACAGTGTTCTGCCTGCAGGTATGCCTGCATGCCAGAAGAGGGCACCAGATCTCGTTACAGATGGTTCCAAGCCACCGTATGGTTGCTGGGAATTGAACTCAGGACCTCTGGAAGAGCAGCCAGTGCTCTTAACCTCTGAGCCATCCCTCCAGCCCCCAACTCTTTGTGTTTATTTTTTATTTTTTTAGAGAGGCACTCACTAAGTAGCCCTAGCTGAACTGGAGCTCACCGTTTAAACCAGACTTGCCTTAAAACTCACGGAGTTCTACCTGCCTCTGCATGCTGGAGTGGTGGGATTGAAGTCTTGCACCATCATGCCCAATTCCATGAGCCATTTTAGTGCTCCTGAATATCAGCCACATGCCTGCAGATCTGGGCCAGGCACTGGCAGACAGTTTTGCAGAAATGATATCATTCTGTAAGCTTCAGCCACTTGCTTTTTCTAGTCAATATTGTTTTTGAGATACATACTTCATTTTTTATTAAAATATTTTATTTATATTATGTGTATAGGTGTTTTGCTCACATATATGCCTGGGTAATGTGTGAATGCCTGGTGTTTGTAAAGGCCAGAGAGGGCATTAGATCTCCTGTAAGTGGTGTTACAGATGGTTGTGAACCACCTGGTCGGCACTGGGAACCGAACCTGGGTCCTCTGCAAGAGCAACAAAGGCTCTTAACGGCTGAGCCATTTCCCCAACCCCCAGATTCATATCTTCTTGAGCACATGTCTTAATTTCCCTCTTAAAGTCCTTACTCTCTTGAATTTAAAAGACAGAACTCCTCTGGGGGAAAACAGAGTTCTTTAAAGAAAACATATTTGTGTACAAGAAAAACAATAAGTATTCTTGGACCAAAGGTTTATATGCCAAAAAGTATGTAAGTTAAAAAGTAGTTTTTTTGTTTTGTTTTGTTTTTTTGAGCTGAGGACTGAACCCAGGGCCTTGCACTTGCTAGGCAAGCGCTCTACCACTGAGCTAAATCCCCAACCCGTTAAAAAGTAGTTTTAATACTTGACAGGATGTCTGTGAAAAGGAATGAATTCATGACTGCTGCACCGAAGGACAGTGGGAAGTTTCCCAGAGGTCTCACTGGAGTGACAGTGTAACCTCTGGCTTAACCTCGGCTGCTTTTGTACCTGATAACATTATCTAGATTGCCCAACATTCTAGAAAAAACAACTAGTTGGGTTTAATTTATTTACATCCAACAAACATTGCTGGGCTCTAGGGTGCAGTCAGGTCCAGGAAAGGTTCTGGCCTCGGGGAACAAGCAATTGTCACGCAGAATAAACCATAAAGCCTTCTTTACTCCCAGTGAGGCCAGGCTCCAGTTTAAGTTTAGAGATGGCTCAATGGTTAAGTCCCTTTGTGCTAGCAGAGGACCCCAGTTTGTTCCCAGCACCCACATGATGGCCGATCACCATCCATAACTCCAGTTCTAGGGAATCTGGCACCCGCTTCTGACCTCCGAGGACACTAGGCACACATGCAGTGAGCAGACATACATGCATGTAAAATACTCATACACATAAAGTAAAATAAATCAATCTTTTCTTTAAAGGTGTTTAGACTAAGTCATTCTCTTTGTTAAGTTCTAGTGTGAGAACTACATGTACTTCACTTGGGAAATAAGTTGTTCATGTTTTGGAACATTTGAAGTATCAGAAATTACCTCCCCCTTGAAGGTTGAGTTGAAGTTGCCAGGAGGACGTGGACAGACATGTTTTCTGTTGAGGGATTGTTCTTAGACACTATTGTAAGTTATTTTACTCATAGTCATTGGGTTAATCGATTTCCCATCACTCTGCAATCTTAAACTTTTTAATTACACGTATTTATTTATCTGTGTGTGGTGGGGTGCGTGGATGCTATGGTGCATAGAGAGCCACCTGTGGGAACTGGTTCTCTCCTTTCCCCATGTGGGTCCCAGGGACTACACTCAGGCCACCCGGCTTTCACCTCCCTGACCCTCCTCTGTCCCCTTCTGAATTAGTCTAAATCATTTGTGTTTTCTTAGCAATAATTCACCTGAACTGGATTTAAATCCACAGAGGTTGTAAACAGTCTTAAGGTTCTGGGAGAGAACATTTTCTAGGCATAGATCCTCTTCTCTGTTCTTATTCAAACCAGAGGGTAATGGTGTGTGTTATCCTGGCCGTCGCCAGCTTCATTTCCCAATTGAATGACTTCTTTGCTTTCTAATACATGAATTATCCTTACTAATTCCTTTTCAAGTGTTTTGAGTCTAATGTTCATGGACAAATGATTGTTGATGTTAATGAATAATTTATTTTCCTTCTTTTGTTTGATGCTAAAACTTCTTGCAGTCCTTAACTAAAATTTGCAACATTTAGGCAACAATTTGTGGGCTTTGCAATATGTGGCATTATATGCTTCTATATCTAATTATAGATTTAAATTCTGTTTCCACTGTAACATTTTTGAAGGTTAGCTTTCATTTTTCCATTGATATATATATATTCATAACCAAAAATATTTTGGTGTGAAAACAAAGTGTCCACATGCAATAGATGTCTGTCTGTCTGTCCTCTAGTGTCTCTCTCCACATGTTCTTTCCGCCTCTAGACCTCTAACAAGGACTCCCATACTGTAACTGCTGGCCTCACTGTGGCTTGGTTTCTCTCCTTTGTCTTTCTGTTATAGACATCTGTCTACTCCCTTCTGTTTAATGCATGTCCTTAAAGATGTTTCTGTCTTTGGAGAATACTTAGTGCTCTTAATATAGTTTATTTTAGATAAACAATATTGTCCTACATATCCAGATCATCCCATATTCTTCTCAAGATGTCTGTTTGTTTGAGAAAGGACCCATGTGGCCCAGACTAGCCTCAAACTCTATGTATTTGAGGATGACATTGAACTTCTGATCTTCCTGCCTCTATCTGAGGGCTGGGATTGTAAGGATACCACCATGTTCATGTAACTCTGAGGATCAAACCCAGGTCCTTGTGCATATTTGGTAAGCATTCTCCCCACTGAGCTACATCTCTCTCCCCAAATGTCCTATCTTAATTCATCATCTATTTTCAACAATATTTGGTGCCTTTTACTTCCTAGATAGTCTCCATTTAGATGTAACTAGGCTGAACATAGTCCTCTTCAGGACTGTGGATTTTGAAGATTCTTTTTGAAAAAGATTTCATTTTCATTTTTAATTGTGTGTGTGTGTGTATGTGTGTGTGTGTGTGTGTGTGTGTGTGTGTGTGTGTGTGTGTGTGTGTGTGTGTGTGTTGTCTGTGTGTGGGTTTGTCCATACAACTGTATGGTGTCCATCCCTGGGAACTAGAGTTACAAGCAGTTGCAAGCCACGCAGTGTATGTGTTCTGGGAAAACTTGGATCCTCTGGAAGAGCAGTACATGCGCATAACCTAGGAACCATATCTCCAGTCTGTTAAAACCTCTTTTTAAGATGTGTTTCATCTCAAGGCATAAATATATGGCTCTGTATGTTTTAAATTAGTTTTGTCTTTTTCACTGTTCATGTTTAGAGTTTTTTGCTCTGGAGTTTGTGCTGGGATTCAGTTTCATTCATCTCTATTCTTAGAGCAAATTTCTTTACCCTCAGTAACATTACCAAGTTCCCTCGCAGGCATTCCTCAGGCTATGGGCTTTCCACTGTCCTGTTGGTTGCCTTTCCTGTTTGTATGGCAGTACATATCCTGTTTCTATCATGGTAAGCTTTGGAATATATCTGTCTGCTTGGTCAAATCTGCCCCCACACTGAGGCTTCCAATTTTCTCTTCTGTCTCCAAAAAGTCCATGTAGTTCATTCGTTCATCAGTATTGTTTTAGAATCAGATTGCCAAGGAACTGAAAAAGCCCTGCGCTCCTTTCAACGGGTCGATTTCTAACAGTAATTTAATAATTGTCATGGTTCTAATCTTATTTACGCTTAACTCTATACTGAATAGAGACAAAATGTTTTTTAACTGTGTCTGGAGAATGAAAACTAGAACAACCAACATCTCTTCTCCTCCTAGCAAACCTGAAAGACAGTGCTGTATAGATCAGGGAGCCTCAGGGGTAGTTCCCCTCTCAGGCCTTGAAGCTTGGTACTTTGTCTCTGGGTTTCTGCCAGCAGCCACGTGCATGCTGTTCCTCGGACTACTTCAAACAACTCAGCTCATTTCTTGGAATCACACAGTGTGAAACCAGCCTGTCCATGTATGTGTGTTTCTACTCTGCCCTTGCTCTGCAGGGTAGCTTTGGGCAGGGTATTTCCCAAGGCTTCCTCCTTTGGAGTTCTCCTCTGGATGATGGCAAGCAAGGAAGGCTCTCTAAGTTGTGCTTTGGTCTCCTGAACCTGTGAACAAGGCTGTGAACTTGAAGCTTGCTCTCACAGGATTTGATACAGGCTTTGGACTAAAAGCCAACTCCTGGGATTTTCTGGATTCCACTCCCCATTCAAGTTTGGGGCTTCGAGGAATCTTTACTTTCCTCGAAGTAAAGATTAAATGCATGCAATTAAGATGCTATTTTTGGAACAAGGCAGTGGCTCAGAGGTTAAAGTGTTTTCTGTACAATGGTAAAGACCAGGGTTCAAATCCCCGGAACCTATAAATGCTGAGTAGGTGTGGCAGCCTGCAGATAATTCCAGCCTCAGATGGTGTGGTCATAGGATCCCTGGAGCAAGCTGACTCATAAGACTAGCAATCTGGGGTGGGGAGAGCACTGGATTTGACTGAGAGATTCTGCTTAAATGAATAAGGTGGGAGTGATGGAAGATGATTCCAGACTTAAGCCTTGGACTTCTACATGAAAGCTTATACATATGTGCACATGTACCCCCATACATGCAAACATATACAGCACACATATACACATACATGAAAGTGGGAAAAGAAGTAAAAAGATGTTTTTTAAAAAACCACATTCTTTTTTGCTTTTGTTTTTGTTTTGTTTTTTGTTTTTTGTTTTTTTTTTCAAGACAGGGTTTCTCTGTGTAGTTTTGGTTCCTGTCTTGGATCTCTCTCTGTAGACCAGGCTGGCCTCGAACTCACAGAGATCTGCCTGGCTCTGCCTCCCGAGTGCTGGGATTAAAGGCTTGCACCACCACACCTGGCCAGCAACAGCATTTCTGTGCTCTAGTGGAGCCTCTGTCCTTCGGCAGAATTTTATTGTTATTTTCGTTAATTGTCTTCCGTGTCCTTCAGAACATCATGTCCTGGGAATCTTTTATGTTATGTTAAAGGATAAATATACTAAACTCTTTTCCTGGTTCATAAAGTTTCAAACGTTACAGAGAAATATAGAAGGGCTTTGTTTTTGTTTTTGGTTTGTTTTTTCTTATGCTGGAGACAGCGTCCAAGGTCCTGTGTGTCATAGGTGAATGCTCTGTCACTGGGTGGTAGTGAAATTCCATAAAAAGAATTTTTAAAATCATAAGAAACCTACTGTTACCTTCTGATGTATGACACTGTAAACGGTCTTTTTCTGCATTCACCTGTCTGTACACACAAGCAGGGAAGCTGGTTGGCGCTTCTAAGATCGCCCCCTGTAAGCAAGACCATGGGAAAGAGCAACAACTGTACCTTGGAGGCCCCCCAGGGCTTCGGGAGGGCTCACCCATCAGAAAGCTAGCAGAACAATGGAGAGGTCAGTGTGGCCCCAAGCTTGGACCTTAGCACAGATTTATATGTCACAGGACAGGCTCATAGGCAGGCTTCATTCTTGGGGACAACAAAGGCCTAATCTCGAAAACACTGCTGCTTCTTGAAGCCTCCCTTCCCCTCCCCCCCACCCGCAGGACACCTCCGGCAGCTCCCTGGTTTGCCAGATGAACAAGACCTGGATCCAGATGGGGGTGGTGAGCTGGAACTTTGGCTGCGGCCGCCGCCAATTCCCAAGCATCTACACCAGCACCTCCCACTTCACCCAGTGGATCAAGAGACAGATCGGCGACCTGCGGTTTGCCAGTATGGCTGTCCCTCCCTTCCTGAGCCCGTTCATCCTCACTGGCTACATCTTGCTGGTTTCCCTGGGCTCCCTGTGGCTCTTGTGAGCCTGTTTCTGTAACAGTCATTCCCACAGACTGCTTCTCCCTTCTCTCTGCTCCGCCCTCAGAAGTGGACACACCGGAGGCTGAACAGGAAGGACTTCAGGACAGAGGGACTCTGGGGAAGGGTCCTAGACCCACTGTGGGGTTTGCCCTCCAGTTGTTCAATGAAGATGCTCTTGAACCTTTTGAGCCATTTGAAGTTATCACATTCTTGACTTTGACCAAAGCCCCTTAGAACACTCCCCTCATAAAACCTGGCTGTTTCTCAAGCTGAGCCTTCTTGGATACTCTTACTCTATGTCTGTCATAGGTATGGTGTGTGATCTTGGGATGTTGTTCCCTTGTAGTTTTATCTTAAAAACAAACAAAACAACAACAACAAAAAACCTCTAGCCCAGCAGTGGTGGCGCATGCCTTTAATCCCAGCACTCAGGAAGCAGAGGCAAGCAGATCTCTGTGAGTTCGAGGTCAGCCTGGTCCACAGAGCGAGTTCCAGGACAGTCACCAAAGCTACACAGAGAAACCTTGTCTTGGAAAAACAAAAGCAAGCAAACAAACAAAAAACAAAAACAAAAACCTTTTATGTGTATGTATGTATGTGCATGTGGAGGTGAGAGTGTCAGATTTCTCCCAGAGCTGGAGAAATTACAAGTGGTTGTGGGCCACCCCATGTGACTACAGGGACTCAAACTCAGGTCCTCTACAAGAGCAGTACACACTGGTCCACCTCTCCAGCCTGTAGCACCCTCTTTGGCTGACTGGGACTTGAAGTCCCCACTCCGTGAACCCAGCAGTTCAGCAGCTCCCATGTTCCCAAGGCCTCTTCCCTGTGTCTCTGAGACCGTCTTTCCGCAGGCCTTTCTGTAAGGGCTGACTTCTTTCTAGGAGACTTCCCAGGGCCAGATCACAGGCTTGCCCCTCCTAGCTGGGTTCTGGTGCCTCCCGGTCTCTGCCAACCCCTAACTTTCCCCTGAGTGGTTCTAGATCCCAGCCTGTCCCTCCTCTATCTCTGGTAGGGGTAGATGATGTGAGTTCCTGCTTGAGATGTGTGACGGACATGACTGTATCCTGGGCTCTTGGACTGATTCATCCACCTCCATCAGTGACCTTCTTGGGTCTGCCAGCTCAGAGCAGCAGTTCCCCTGTCCCCATCGGGAGGTCAGAAATGTGGCAGCCCTGTCTGCATTTGCCACTAAATGGCCTGCTCAGGTGTTTCTCCTGAGAGCATAGACCTTGACAAAAGTGAGAATGTTCCCACTTTCACTTTGTCTATTGAAAATTCCCATATCCTTGCACCAGAGCTTCCGGTAGTATTCCACATTACTTTTTTTTTTTTTTTTTTTTTAATATTTCTTTCTTTATTATGTATACAGTGTTCTGTCTGCAGGCCAGAAGAGGGCACCAGATCTTATTGTAGATGGTTGTGAGCCACCATGTGGTTGCTGGGAATTGAACTCAGGACCTCTGGAGGAGTAGACAGTGCTCTTAACCTCTGAGCCGTCTCTCCAGCCCCTCCACATTACTTTTTAAATGTGTTAACTGTGCTGCTGAGCCATCAACACGTTCCTCAAATGTCCAGTGACCTTCTGCTCTTGCTGTTGACCGATGGACACCATCACCTCTCCATTATGGTCCCAGTAAGTGGATCTAGAAAGCACACCGCTTCAAGTGGTGTGGGCTTTAAAAACTGTTATTGAAGCCAAGCTTGGTGGTTCACACCTATCTCCCCAGTACTTGGGAGGCCAAGGTAGGAGAGCTGTCAGTTTGGGGCCAGCCTGGGCTACATAGTGAGACCCTAATGAACACATTAGTTTGCTTCAGTATCCTAAGACCTGTGCTTTCAAGATAGGATGGCCATTTTTACTATATCTGTCCTACCAATCCATGAACATGGGAGATCTTTCCATCTTCTGGTATCTTCTTCAATTTCTTTCTTTGATGCCTTAGAGGTTTTTTTTTTTTTTTTTTTTTGTTTTTTGTTTTTATTTTATCATGTCAACATTCAAGAGGAAGATAAGGATGCCCGCTGAGGGGAGTAAGGGATTAGCAGGTCAGGGTTGGCCTTCCTCTCGCTGCTGCTGCTGGTGGAGACAGCATGGAAGCTTAGGAGCTAGCTGAGGTGAAGCAAAGTGACCCAGAGGAAGGGCCCGCCAAGTGTGAGGGAAGACACCAGCCAGGAGCGGGGCACAGCTTGCGCGCCATTCTGCAGGAGCGCCCCAACGAATGGCACCCAGGGGGCGCCACGCAGGCTGGGCACCCGAGCGCCCGATGGAGGGCGCCATTGCGGAGGAACCTAGCGGCGCAATGGAGCGCGGGTGCTGGGCAGGGGTCCGCGGGCAGGGCCCTCAGGGTCCCCGTGCGCCCGGGGCCTCTCGCACCCGCACCCGTACCGGCGCCCTGCTCCTGCTGCTGCTGCTGCTGCTGCTGCTCCTGCCTCGGCGGCCGGCAGGTGAGCCCGGCCTGTCCCCAGCGCCCTCCCCGGCGGGCACGCCCACACCCCGGGCCGCCTCTGACCCGCTCCTGACCTTCCGCAGGCTGCTTGGCCGCAGGCGAGTTCCCCGGGACGCTGCCCACCGCAGTCCCGACCGGCCCTGGCGGCCCCTGTGACCCCAGAGCCACCCGTCCCTCAGGCAGGCTTCGCCTTCCCCGGCAGGACCCTGCATCGACCACCGGGCCACCGACCACCGCGCCACAGATCGCGGGGACGCAACCCAGCGATCTCCCCTGTGAGTAGTGGGCAGGAGAGGCCCGAGAGCTCTCAGGGATTTGGGGACCCTGAGGTCGAAGGGTCAAGGGATCAAGGGCCCAGAGGAGAGTCCATGGATGGGAAAGCCGCTGTACCAGTGTTTATTGAGCACTGGAGGTTGGGCCAGGCCCTGGTCCTGCCTTCAGGGTCCTGTGCTTACAGCAGGCCTTTCATCAGGTGAGCTAAATAGGAAACAAGGAAAGAAAGTCGGTGGGAAGAGTGGTGAGTTGGGGGGTGCTGTTGAGGTGTCCAGAGCTGGCTGCTAGCCAGATGTCTGTCTGAGCTGCTGCAGGCCTGCCTTTGACCTGGTCTGCCCCTGTCTCGGTTCCCAGCCCACAACACAATTCCAGGAGGGCTGTGTGAGACCTCTTGTGGGGTCTGCAAGGCACACCTGGTTATTTTAATGTCCTTGCTGGTGGTGTGATAAAGTAACTTGGGGGGCAGTGCTTGCACTTCCAGGTCACAGTCCATCACGGAGGGAAGCCAGGGCAAGAGCCTGAAGCAGGAACTGTGGAGGAAGGCTCCTTGCTGACTCGCTCTCCCACAGGATAATGCTTAGCTAGCTTTCTTACACAGCCCAGGACCACCTGCCTAGGGACGGTGCCCCTCCACATAGGGCCGTGCCATCCAACATCAATTAATAATTGCCACTGAATTACTCACAGGCCGATCTGACTCAGACAATTGGTCGGTGTACGCTTTTCTTTCAGAAGACTCTATGTAGTGCAAGTGGACATGTAAACCTAACCAGTGCACCAGCATAACTTTTTCATAAGCAGGGATCTGTAGCTGAGACCCACGTGAGAAGTAGTTATTATCCTGGGATTCAGTGAAGTCACTTAACTGTTTCAAAAAAGTCTAGCAGGGGACATCAAGGTACTGTATGTGGTACATGCTGATGGTCTGTTAGCTGAGTATCATTTAAAAATGCGGTGATGGGGGCTGGGGATTTAACTCAGTGGTAGAGCGCTTGCCTAGCAAGCGCAAGGCCCTGGGTTTGGTCCTCAGCTCTGAAAAAAAAAAAAAAATGCAGTGATGGGCTGGAGAGATGATTCAGTGGGTAAGAGCTCTTACCACATGAACAAATGTGAGAACCTGAGTTAAAACCTAGAATCTAAGCTAAAAGCTGAGTGGGTAGGGTCTCGTGCTCCAGTAACCCCAGCACTTTGGGGTTAGGGGTGGGGAGCAGAAACAGGAGATTGCTGGGATCCTGGTCCCTGGCTGAGGAGGCTGCCAAACCAGCTTCAAGTTCAGTGAGGGACCCTGTATCAGAATACCGTGGAGAGTGATGAGAGACTCAAAATCCTCCTCGGGCCTCCACACGCACACACACACTCGTGTGTGTATCCACCCATCCACGTGAGAATGATGTAGATAAAGTGCAACACATGAGTAGCATTTACCTGTAATTCAGGCCCTGAATTACGTTCCCAGCATTACAAATGAATACATAAATATGTAAACAAATATGTAAATACGCTGGCCATAACCCATTTACTTGATTTCACAATCCACTGATTTGTTTAGAAAATACTTGAGTGGAAGCTAAATACGGGCATCTTCAACTTCCTTTATTTTATTTTTATTCATATGGTGTTTTTGCCTGCCTGCATGTATGCATGTATGCCTGATGCCTCTGGAGGCCGGAAGAGAACACCAGAGCCCCCAAAACTAGAGCTGCAGATGGTTGTGAGCCAACATGTGCATTCTGGGAACCCAATTCCTATCCTCTGGAAGCGCAATCAGTGCATTTTTTGTTTGTTTGTTTTTATTTTTAGAAACAGGGTCTCTCTGTCTTGGAACTCGTTCTGTAGCCCAGGCTGGCCTCGAACTCACAGAGATCTTCCTGCCTCTGCCTCCCGAGTGCTGGGATTCCAGGCGTGCGCCACCACCGCCCGGAACAGCCGTTCTCTTCACAGCTGAGCCATCTCTCTAAACCCCCTCTTCAGTCTCAGAACTTTTTCTGAAGTGCCCTCCGTCCTTGGCACGCTTCTCCCCAGAAGGGCCCAGAATTCTCACCGCATTTGGTTCTACAGACGCTTAGCTGTTGTGAGACGGCTGTGTGATGTCGTTTAGGGCTGAGTCCCAAGGAGGCTAAGCAAGCTTCCACAGCTTTTGTCACTTTGCTGTCCTCTCTGGGATGTGCCTGCTCCCTCATACAGTCTGTTTCACTGTTAGGCCATCGGTCTTTACCTCCATGAATCACAAGAGGGCATTCCCAGAGAAGGGGTGGGGTCTACATTGGCTCAAGCCGGAGGAGCAATCTGCAACCAGATAGAAATACAGGTGCATTTGTGAACATCTGGCTGAAGCGGAGTCGTCCACTAGGCTGACTATTGCCGTGCTCTAGGGCCCGAGCTGTAGGAACAAGGAAATAGGTACCTGGGTATAGTGCGGAGGCTTTGCTAAAGCTGGAGATGTCCGTGGATGGATGCTATCTTTCCACAGGGTGGGTAGAAACAGGTGAGTGGCTGGGGAGGCTGGAGGGAGGGGAGAGTGGCGACAGAGCCACAAGATGTGGCCGGTGAGCTTCTCACTTCCTCGTGCTCTTTTTTTCTCTAGTCTGCGGCTCCTCCCATGAGGCAGACCCTACTCTCCGAGACCCAGAAGCCATGACTCGGCGGTGGCCATGGATGGTCAGTGTGCGGGCTAACGGCGTCCACATCTGTGCTGGCACCCTTATTGCTTCCCAGTGGGTGCTGACCATGGCCCATTGCTTGACCCAGTGAGTTGGGGCCCAGGTGCGTGGGTGGGTGGGTGGAAAGGCATCTGGAATGCTGGAGACCCAGTCCTGTGTGGAGCCCACAGCGCCAGTCCCACTCTGAGCAAGGGAGGGTTGAGTCTCACAGGTTCCTTCCTGGGGCTCAGCCTTTGGCACGTGCCCACCCTTTGCCCTTTTACCTGCCCGACAGTCCTGAGCAGCCATCTGTAGGTAAGGGAGGCTCGGATTTCCTGTTCTACCCACTTTGCTTCCAGGTTCTTCTCTTCCCTTCGTCAATCAATAGTTTCTAGTTTTCCTCAGAGAGGCCCTGGCTTGGAACCTCTCAGGGTGGATAGAGACAGAAGACAGACATAGATTGTGTGGAGACAAAAGGATGGCCGTGCCAGTGTTGTGGGGTCTGGGAACTCCTGAGAGTAGTGTCTATGTTTCCCTTGAGGACTGACCAGTGAAGACAGGTTCCATTGACATAAGGATCAACATAGTGACTTCAAGAGGTGTCCTGTGGTGGGTGGCTTGAGATCTAGGCCGTGGTCATTACATAGGAACTCTGTGAGGAAATGGAGTCTAGATCCCAACTCGACCGCTTCCTAAGGGTACACCCCTGAGCAGGTCACAGCACTTCTTTGAATCTCCCATTCTCTCCTCCACAAAATAAGAGGACCACACAGTGTGTGCAGGGCTCTGTCATGAGGAATAGGCTCAGGGGGCCATGAAGCCCGGGGTGGCCTGCCTGGATTTGCTTAGAGGGCCACAGTGATGTGGAGGGCAGGACTGGGGGCTGAGGCAGGAGCCTAGAGCTGATGGAAGACCCCCTTCCTGTTCCCGTAGGCAACACGTTAACTATACAGTGAGGGTTGGGAGCCCATGGATTAACCGGACAACAGTAACCAGCGCAGACGTGCCAGTACGTCAGATCTTCATAAACAGCGGCTACCAACCCAGGCGGTTCTGGTCTTGGGTCGGCCGGACCAATGACATCAGCCTCCTCAAACTCCAAAGGGGCCTCAAGTACAGCAAATATGTGTGGCCCATCTGCCTGCCTGGCCTGGAATATATGGTGGAGGACAGTTCTCGCTGCACCGTGACAGGCTGGGGATATCCCCGGATTAATGGTGAGTCAGAGCCCCACCCCCAGCCTGGGGTGCATGGTGGGAGAAAGGACTTGGATGTGCCTGGGGTGCCCCCTGAATGGACATTTCTGGAGTACCTTCTTTAAGGAGCTGGCTGATCCAGGAACCTCCTTGTTTGCTTTCTCATCCCTGAAGTCTCCCCCAGTTGAGGGTCTTGTCAGTGAACATATCATGGTCATTACCGCCCTTGAAGTCTCGGGACCAAGGCAGCAAGGAGGTCTCAGAGCAATAGCTTGTCACCCATACACAACCCTAGGGCACCGGCAAGTAGAGTACAAGAGGATGGGTTCCCATTTCTGCAGAAGGCGTCCCAGAATCGCGGCAGCTTGTGTCTGGAAGTTGAGAGTCGGTCCACTCACATCCCTTCCCTTCAGTGACCCTCGATCCCTTGTGATTCCAGTATAGGAGCAAGGCCCTCAAGACAGGCTGTCCTCTCATACCCAGTCAAGGGATCATTTTTCTCATGGCTTCTGGGAGTATCTACTCCCTTTATGGAGCCACCAATGCACAAGAGAGATGCCCTTCTCTGTGTCCTTGAGGATCCGATTTGCCCTTTAAACAGCCTGTTCTGTGACCTACCTGGGAGTGATCGCAAGTTTCCTGTCTCCCAGGAGCTCAGATATATTTTGGGTGGGATGGGAAATAGTGCTGTGGGATGGGGGTGGGTGGGGTGGGGTCTCCATGGAGCGGGTCTGGGCAGCCTTAGTGAGGAGGTAGCTCTAGGGACAGCTTTGAAAAGAAAGGCTTTGACCCTGAGAGCGCTGGCAGGCACTTGGAAGAGGACTAGCAGAGGCGATCGGTCGGTGTGGACTGTCTGTTCCAGCACCTCTGTATGGGGCAACCTTGGGACCTGCTGGCCGGAGGGGAAAATCCCCCAGACATGGAGACATCTCTGTGGCTACCATGCAAAAGAGACAGAACTGGTAGCTGTGGGCCACAGTCCGTGGCTAACCCTGAATGGGGACCCTGTCCCACAGGCAGGTGGCCCCAGTTCCAAACCCTTCAGGAGAAGGAAGTCTCCATCCTGAACAGCAAGAAATGTGAGCATTTCTACCACAAGTTCTCCAGAATCTCCTCTCTGGTTCGGATCATCACATCTCAGATGATCTGTGTCTCGGACAACAACAGGGAAAAGTTCTGCTACGTGAGGACTTCTGCCCTTCTTCATCTATCCCGAGGGCCAAGGGGTGGAGGGGTGCAGGAGGCAGAGCTGAGGGCTGCCGAGAGGGGAAGGGGGAGTGAGGAGAGGATGGAGAGGGCAGGTGAGGGCAGGGGTGCAGAGGCTGGAAAGGGGTGGACTGGATCGGATGGAAATGAGAGGGGTGGGTGTGGAGCTAAGGTTAAGGAGTGAGTGTCCTTTGAGGAGGAAATAGTGGGTCAGGAACACCTGTCCGCTTTGCTCACACTGGGAGGCTATGCAAAGAATCCGGTGGGAAACACCCTGGGCTGGCTCCTTGCGTGGGGTTATGTCGCTCTCAGGCATGGCGTCACCTCCCTGATCCCTTTTAACTTCCTCCCTCTTTACAGGAGATAACTGGCGAGCCCTTGGTCTGCTCTTCAGGCGGCACATGGTACCTGGTGGGGATGATGAGCTGGGGCCCAGGCTGCAAGAAGAGCGAGGCCCCGCCCATCTTCCTACAGGTCTCCTCCTTCCAGCGGTGGATCTGGGACCACCTTAGTGGGGAGGCCCTGGCCCTTCCAGCCCCTTCCAGGACGTCGCTCCTGGCTTTCCTTCTGCTCCTCAGCCTTCTGGGTACTCTGTGACGCTGCCAGGTCCCCTTCCCTTCCTACTGAGTGCTGCTGTGGGTGTGGCAATCGGCAGGGACTAGCAGAGATTAAACACTTCTTTTTCCCATGTCTCCTCTTTCTGAGCCGCTCTAGTGGGAAGCAGGTGTACATAGTGGGGTAGATGAGGGACTCTGGGAACTTAAACTGAAAAGTATAAGCCTCTGAAGATTTGGTGCAGAAGGTAGAGGGGTATGTGAAGGGGAAGTGGGAAGCCTGGGATGTATTACCTAGGCCAAAGCTGGGGCTGCGGGGACCTCCCTCCCAGACCTCTAGATGGAAAGTGACATGATCCTTCTGTGAGACTCCAGTGGGAATTAGGCTCTCCCTGGTCTTTTGTTTTGTTTTGTGGAGACAGGGTTTCTCTGTGTAGCCTGGGCTATCCTGGAACTCTCTCTGTAGACCAGGCTGGCCTCGAACTCACAGAGATCTGCCTGCCTCTGCCTTCCGAGTGCTGGGATTAAAGGTGTGTGCCACCCCCGCCGGACTCTCCCTAGTCTTGACTGCCTTCTGGCCAGTGGCTAGAACTCTCCAAAAGTCCCCAAAGATCCATAGAGTACTTTGACCCTCTAGCCCTGCTTCCGGCCTGGGGGCATAGGTACAAAAAAAAACGATCTGGTGGGAAAGACACTTCCCACCGGCTGCACCAGCTACTGCTCTGAGTGACCTTGAGTGTCCTCCACCGCCCCTCCGAACGTCCAGTACCTTGCCACACAGAAGGGCGCTGGTTTGTCTGGAGAGAAAGGACCCCAGCCAGCTCTAGGAATGAGAAGCCGGTACACTGGAGCCTGGAGGCAGAGGTCAGCCGACCATGCCTGACTAGTCAGAGTGATCTCCTTCCATGATGGGGGCCTGCTGTGATCCTCTGCCCCTCAATACTCCTTCCTCATGTCATTCTGGGGTGCTTCTCCTTGTAGGAGGTTGATATGGGACCGTGTTAGGAATGAGGGATGATTCCCGTGAGCCCCAGTACCCGGCTCCAAACATTAGAGACTTATTGAGAGCATGGGGTAGAGTGGAAGAGAGCTCAGGTGAGCCTCATCAATTTCCCTCCCTGTCCCGAGTCCACTTGGTGGGGTGTGGTGGCTGCAGCTTCTCCTCGCTGCTCCTCTGCCTCTGGGTTTCTTTAAAAAAAAAAAAAAAAATTATTTTTATTTTATGTGTATTGGTGTTTTGCCTGCATGTGTCTGTATGAGGGCGTCAGATCTCCTGGAACTGGAGTTACAGACAGTTGTGAGCTGCCATGTGGGTGCTGGGAATTGAACCCAGGTCCTCTGGTAGAGCAGTACTCTTAACCAATGAGCCATCTCTCCACTCCCCCCTCTACTTCTCACCCCCCCCCGCTTTTTTTTTGGTCTCAGTCTGGGACAGGGGTCAGGGAGAGAACTTCAGGCTCGCCTGAGTCACCTATTATTACGGATTGTTGTGTCGCCTTCTACAGGAATCCTCCAGGGCTTGGCAAAGCATGGGACAGGGGTGGAGATCATCTCAGGTTGAAGTTTTATTTGTCTGGGGCTGAGCAGACACCCAGCTTTGTTGACAGATCTCTTCAGGACACCTTTCTAGCAGGCTTCCCTCCTGGAAAACTTTCCCAGAGTCTCCGTCCCCAGCTCTGGTCAGAGCTCCTCATTTTGATGTTGGAAGCGCCTCGTACATCTCTCTCCTCTAGAGCCAACCCCTCAATGGCGTTTGAATAGTCTTCTCGGCAGAGACGCCTCTTTCGGTAGGGGACATGGCCAAAGAGGAACTGCACACTGCTGTACTCAGCAGGCCATGGGGAGACCCAGGCTTTCTCACTCAGCCCCCCGGCCTCAGCCCTCTTGTCTTTCAAACACTATTGCTGAGCCAGAAGACCTTAGGCTCGGCCTCATGCCAGCCCCTCAGCGGCCCCAGCTCTACACATTGTCATCTTGTTTTCAGAGCTTAGCATCTGCCAGGTCAGGAACCCTCCTGATAAAGGGGCCACTTTGGCAGCCGGGGACAGATTCCTGCCAAGCCTGGGGTAATTTCCTTGCTATCAGGGCTGCTATCTAGCTATGTCAGAGACTCTCATGTCAGAAGCTCCCCGTCGGCCCGCCCTCCATGCTTACGAGTTCATACACAATCTGTTCGATCCTGCCATCCGAAACCGCCAATCTCTGACTCCTTCACGGCCACCTCTGCCCCTGGCCAAAAGGGTGGGCCAGAGGCCTGTCTGGATGTGGGGAGGAGTCCAAGGGCACTCTATATCTGCAGAGGGACAGTGGCCTGAGACAAGTGCCCAGACAGGTGATGTGAAAGGAACAGAGTCCAGGTGGACACTCGTCAAGTCTTGTCCCTGCACCTTTTGGGCCATGACGTAACGGCCATGGCCTTGGCTTCTCAGACCATAGCCTCTGTGGTCCATGGATCAACGTGGAGTCCTGGTGCCTGGATCCTGGCCTGAACTTGGGCTTCAAGGCCTGCCAGCCCCAGCTGCCACCACCAGGATGCTTTCCTCATTTCTCTCCTTTCTTCTTCTTTGCCTCGTTCTTCTCTTCCTCCTCTACCTTGATAGCCACCGTGTCCACACTGTCCTTCTTCTTCTTCTTCTTCTTATCCTCTGTGGGTAGGGGAAGAGGGGGAAAGGACCCAAAGCTCTCCTCTCTGCCTTCCCAGCCTCCCTTCTCAGATCTTTTTTATTTGAGGTGCGTGTGTATGCATCTGTGTGTGGTGTTGAGTGTGCACATGTGTGGGCATGCACATGGAGATCGGAGGTCGATGCTGAGTGTGCACATGTGTGGGCATGCACATGGAGACCGGAGGTCGATGCTGAGTGTGCACATGTGTGGGCATGCACATGGAGACCGGAGGTCGATGCTGAGTGTGCACATGTGTGGGCATGCACATGGAGACCGGAGGTCGATGCTGAATGTGCACATGTGTGGGCATGCACATGGAGACCGGAGGTCGATGCTGAGTGTTCACATGTGTGGGCATGCACATGGAGACAGGAGGTCGATGCTGAGTGTGCACATGTGTGGGCATGCACATGGAGACCGGAGGTCGATGCTGAGTGTGCACATGTGTGGGCATGCACATGGAGACCGGAGGTCGGTGCTGAGTGTGCGCATGTGTGGGCATGCACATGGAGACCGGAGGTCGGTGCTGAGTGTGCGCATGTGTGGGCATGCACATGGAGACCGGAGGTTGGTGCTGAGTGTGCGCATGTGTGGGCATGCACATGGAGACAGGAGGTCGATCCTGAGTGTGCACATGTGTGGGCATGCACATGGAGACCGGAGGTCGATCCTGAGTGTGCACATGTGTGGGCATGCACATGGAGACCAGAGGTCGATGCTGAGTGTCCTCTTTGGCTCTCTACCTTATTTACTTATTGAGAAGCCTAGAGTCCACCAATTTGGCAAGACTAGCCAGCCAGTGAGCTTCAGGAACCTTCTGTCACTATCTCCCCAGCACTGAGATTTACAGGTGCATGATCATGCCTGGTTTTTGTTGTTTCTTTCTCTCTTTTTTTTTTTTTTTGTAGGTGATGGAGATCCAAAGTCAGGTCCTTGTGCTTGTATGGCAAAGACCTTACTGACCGAGCTGCCTCCCCCCCCCCCCCCCCCCCACAACTTTCCTGATACAAATGGGCTCTTGTTTTAGTTGCCTGGCTCTGACCAGTTCTGCACTCTGGTCTCCTGGGATAGTGCCCAGTCCCTTCTCTGAACCAGCTGCAGGGAGACGGTGAATTAGGACAGCGGGACTGAGGAACTGGCTGGCTGCAGGATCCAGTGCTGGCTGCCATGGGACTGGAACCTACTTACCTCCAGGGATTTCTGTGAGTTCATTAAGGGGAGGCACGGTCTCCAGCTTGTCCGTGTACATCTTGGCCGCCTTTCGCTGCAGATACCGGGCCTCAATCTCCTTCCGTGTCCGTGGTACACGGCAGTTGAACACACAGCACAGTGTGATGACTGTATGGATGTCAGAGCAAGTTTGGCTAGGGTGGGGTCTCAGCCAGGTTGAGTGGTACCCACATGTTAGGCCTGACTCTCACGTAAGAGACTCCTGCAAAAGCCTGAGGTGACCTCCCGGGTGAAGCTGACTTTATGTGCTTGCCCATGACCCATGCTTAGTGTAATGCTTTACTGTCAACTTCCTAGTAATTTGGACACGAAGCCTGGTATTTTCATTTGTACTAGCTCCACGAATTCTATAGCCAATCTTGGTCTGATAGTCTTTCTGATCACACTGGGTACTGGAGGAAGGTAAAGTGAAGGTCTCAGGTATGGCTCTAGCCATGGCTACCCTGAGTCACCCTGTGCTTCTGACCTAGGCCTCTCTGGGAGCTCCTAAGACACCCTGGGTTTCCTTCTCCAGCCTCCTAATTGCAGAGGCAGAGGTGCCTCAAATACCCAAGGATATGGCTGCATCCTCCCCAGCATCCCGGAGGATGAGCCTGGACCCTCCCCAGCATCCCAGAGGACGAGCCTGGACCCTCCCCAGCATCCCGGAGGATGAGCCTGGACCCTCCCCAGCATCCCAGAGAACGAGCCTGGACCCTCCCCAGCATCCCGGAGGACAAGCCTGGACCCTCCCCAGCATCCCGGAGGACGAGCCTGGACCCTCCCCAGCATCCCGGAGGATGAACCTGGACCCTCCCCAGCATCCCGGAGGATGAGCCTGGACCCTCCCCAGCATCCTGGAGGACAAGCCTGGACCCTCCCCAGCATCCCGGAGGACGAGCCTGGACCCTGGCTGGGGAGAACCCGGTGAGAATGCCCAGACCCTGTCCTGGGCATTTACCTCTGAGGAAGTTATTCCAGGAGTGTTTTTCTGGTTAAAGGCAGCTGTGCCCACGTCAGCTGGGGCAGAGCATAAAGCTGGCTCATCTAGTGATGTGCAGGGCAAGGCTGCCAGGACCTGGCTGGCTGGGCCGAGTTTATTTTTCTAAGGCTCCCACAATCTGACCACTGTGGCCCCAGCCCCTGGGGAGGAGGTGGAGCTGGTTCCTATTATAAATAATACGGCCAGACAGAACTTCCTGGCAGGCTACTGAGGTGCAGAAGGGCCCAGGCATGACAAGCCAGGTCTATTTTGAGGAAATGGATCATGCCTAGGTAGTCTGGGATCATCTTGTTCAACCAAAGTAATATCCCTTGAGCCAAATATTTTGGTTCCATGTGTCTCACCCAGACTTTCAGGATGGGAGAAGCAATGGATGGATGGATGGATGGACGGACAGACGAATGGGAAGGATGGTCCCAAAGCCTCCACTTCTGGGAGCCACCAGCATTCAGAGATATGCTGAGGGTGGGCAGGGCTAGCTGCACTAGGTCCCCAGCATAGGGCTCTTGGGATTAGACCTGAGCCAGCAACGGACTTTTATTACCCAAAGTGCTCTGCTTTGGTCTTTCCCAGACCCCTGTGTGGGTGCCTTGGACTCAAGATTCTCCTTATGCTCCAACCCTACTGGCGTGGGTCATCTTGCCTGCTCACCCCACTGACACCCTGAGCACCCTGCCTGCTCAGGCTCCATGTGGTTAGTGCCGAGTCCTGGGAGCTCAGAACTTCAGAGGAAGCAGAACAGGCAGCTGTTGGCAGCCAGAGCAGGAATCACACACTTACATACTGCCTGGCCCTCCAAGCCTGCCCTGAGCAGGAATCACACACTTACATACTGCCTGGCCCTCCAAGCCTGCCCTACCTACCCTGGCCTGATTATTTTTCTTCAAAGAGAATGAAAAACTAAAGATTTGGGATCAAGTGTGGAGGCCCAGGAAAGAGCTGGGGGTTTATTTAACCCTAGTCCTTAGCTCCGAGGGACTGGGGGGGGGGGCGGGGGTTGGGGGGGCAGTGTGCAATGTTTCACTGCCTGGGTCCGAGCAGTCTGGGAAGCAGAGAAACTATTTTCCCAACACCACTGCCAGCAGCTATGGAAGGCAGCCGCTGCTGCCCTGCTGCCCAGGGACCTTCTGTTCCTGCCTGTTCCCATTCTAGGAAATGAAGTTAGGGGCAGTTAGGGGTAGGAGATGCTCTGTGTGGCTGATGTCCACGTGCCTCTTCAGTCTGACTCTGTGCAAATATTGGGTGTGGCCCCAGGCACCTCCACCATTCACCCAGAGTGGAGCCTGGGGGAGACCTCAGGTTCCTAGCAGGTACCTTCAGGGATACCCCAAAGATATTCCCTTCACTGCTCTGGGGCTCCTGGGGCAGTTGCTTCCCAACCCTGCTTTTGATAACAAGGGTGGTCTCCCTCAGGATGCAGGGGCTCCGGCTGCAGGTACACCTTTCTCTGGGGTCTTCACTGAGCTGCCTGGCTCTCTCTAGGCCTCAGCTGGGAAGACAATCAGTCCCTCAGATCTGGGGGGAGGGGGTATTCTCTCTGGAGGACACTTTGGGTGCCAGGAGAAGCATGTGCGAATCAGATGTCATGTTCTGAGATCCCTTTGCAAGTGGATGGTTTCTCTGAGGCCACCCAGCACTCTGGAGAATCTCTTGGGAAAGCCACCACTAGAATGCAAATGTCACTTTAGCCTCCATTTTGGGTGCATTTTGGTGATGTCCCACAGACATCTGAGGCCTGGCATAGAGACCAGCTTCCTCCCAGTCTCTGCCCATACCATCCCCTCTGCAGTCCCTTCCCAGAACCCTCCCTTTGGTCCACAGCTCAGAAGACCCAGCCTCTGTGGGCCTTTGGAGGCAGATGGGCTTCCTCTCCTTTCACTCCTCCCACCCTGGGTTTGAACTTGCTTTGTGCTCTGGTATTCTCTCCCACCTGGCCTGCCTCTCATGGAACCTCCCTCCTCAACTTCACACTGGGAAAGGGGGGAGGGGCACATGCTGAGCCCCTCAGCTACATCTTTGCATCAGTAAGAGTCCAGACTGAAGGAGAGGAATGGACCCCCTGCTTTGAAAGGAAGTAGGTATGAATCATTCCTGGAAAATGGCATTGGAGGAGGTAGGATTCAGGGCCTGGAAGCCACATCTGCTAGGCGTCTGGGGAGTCCTTGCTGGGGCCCCTGGGTGTGGGCTCTCTGAATTGGCCAAACTGCAAGAAAAGCATCAGGAGGCCAGCCATGGGGAAAGATGACATGTCCTGGATTCAGTGGAGTCCCCTATCATTAACATAATTGCCATGTGGCTGCTTCCCTGAGTCCAGCAGAAATCTTCGGGTCACCACTGGCCCGTCAGCCCTCCACAGGACTTGGTGTGAGTGAGGAGGTGCCAGAGACCATGGTGGGCCTCCTGTGAGTGCCTGACCTACTTGAACTGCCTGGAATTGCTGCTCTGAACTCAAGGGGTACTGAGGGGGCCAAGGGTGCTAGAGGAGCTATGACCCTCTTGTGGTGGGGTGGAGAGAGATGGATGTAGCTACTCACTGATAGACAACACGAAGAGTGAAAAGATGCCCACCACGTGCCACAGGCGCATGTCCCAGAACACCACGGTCTCCTTGGTCAGTGGGGGTGGCTTGGGCTTGGGTGGGGCCGTGCTGGGCTGTGGGTCAACAGAGAAAGGAATGAGCCAGGCACAGGCCAATAGGCTGGGATGGGGTCAGCAAGGACTCAGCCCACACATTTTAGAATCCCCAAAATGTTTCAGACATTCACAACCAACACCCTAGACCTCAGAAAGTTCCAGATTTAGAATAAAAGCAGTGATCAGAGTCCCAGACCGTGGCACCAGGCACTTGGACTAGAAGAGTGGTTGATGCTTGGGGAAACAAGGCTCAAAGGAGCAATGTGGACACCCTGTCCCAGCCAGCTCTGATGGGGTCTCAGGACCAAGGCCAGGGACAAGGCAAGGCCTATTTCATGGGCCAGGTGTGCTGCTCTGGTAGACTGGCTTTGTTCTCATCTCCCAATAGAGCTCTACTGCTGGGCTACAGGGGTAAGGCGCTCCTTATGCAGGTGTGCGCACACTGACGCCTGTCCCACTTAAAGCCATGATTTATGCACCAGAAGGCCAGCCAGGCTAACCTTAGAAAAATAGTAATGTAGCGCCACCAGGTGGCTAAAAGATGTAAGTGTGGCTAAGAAGGACACCACATGGCTTTCTGTGGGCTCCTGACTTGGGGACACTATCCTGTCTGTGTTTTCTAGAAGGCGTAGTGATGCCTCAGGTCTAAGGGGACTTGCCTGAGGGTATTAAAAGGTAGTATCCTGCCTTGGGTTTCTAGAAAATACAATCTTCTCTGGGGGAATGAGGGGACACACCCATGATCTATGTGTTTTAGAGTTGTGGCTTTGCTCTGGGTGTGTTTGTTTTTATAGATGCTGTGCTGGGTGTTGAACCCAGGGTTTTGTGTGTGCTAGGCCAACACTCTACCAACTTAGCTTCATTCTCAGCCTGTCCCGGGTGTTTCGAGGGTACATGACTTTGTCCTGAGTGTCTATGGGACATGGCTGTGCCTTGTGGAATCTGAGAGGTTAGTTTTGACCAGAGATATAATCCTGTCTCTGTCCACCAGTTTGGCTAAGGGACAAAGAAGGGGGTGGGACCAGGCATTTGTGCAATACATTGTCTCCTAAATGATTAGTTAGGACAGGCTTGAGAGTCCCTTGTGACTATCTGAGAAAGAAAAGCCATCTGTCATGCAATCTCTCTCCAGTTCCCACACCCCCACTGGGGTCCATAAACATGGATAGACATCTGCCAGGATCTGGGGACTCCCTCATCTAACAGGTGGCACTCAGAGGAGATCACTGACCTATGCTAGGCATCTCAGAATCTCTGAACCATAGACTGGTACATGGCTCCTAGCTCTTTGCTCCTCACTAAGAGGGACCAGAAGAGAGATGCCTTCCTTTACTCTAGACCTCAGTTTCTCTCCCTGTAATTGGAGTGGGGTAGTGCCATCTGCCTCTGAGAACTCTCCAATCTGGTGGTAAAATTGGCAATAACATCCCACTGAATCAGCAGCATCCCTTGGTGGATTGGGGAACCCCTGTGCAGGCAGGCAAGTGTGTGGATACATGCCATGCATGGGATTGGGCACATATAAATGGGCAGAGGGCATATGTGTGGTTGCAGCAATGTGCATGTGTTTGGGTTGGTGACTACAGCATCAGAGTTGGGGGCTTGGCAGTTACTGTGCCCTGTCTCACAGGTCTGGTGTGTTGGTCTGACTGACTGGAAGACCCTGACCAGGCTCTTGGGTGGAGGGTAACAGGCAACAACCAGGCATCTTATGGTGGGTCCTGAACTTTGGAGGTCCTGCCTCCTCCAGAGGCACAGCCTGGTGGAGAGAGATGCTGCAGGGCCGGACTGAGAGGAGACATGGTTCCCAGCGCTGCCAGTATTTCTCCTGCTTCCTTGGAAAGAGGGGCTAGGCCTTGCTTGAGATGTAAGCAGATGGGCTGCAAATGTGATTTCCTCCGCTGAGCTGGGAGATGAGCTCCTCGGAGTGGGGAGACTCCTTGCCTCAGAACTGCCTTGCCTGTTGCCCCAGCCTTTGCTTTGAGGACAGCTCAGTTTCTGTACAGGGGCCTCAGGGCAGTTGGTGAGAGACCTGAGTGTGCTCCATGGGGCCCCAGCCAGGCTGGCTTCCCTTACCGGGTACTGAAGCTGACATCTGACTCCAGCAGCCTCTTCCACACCCCTGGTCAGTTGCAGAAGGGACATGCTACACAGGAGTACAGGTCTCTATACCATGAGACGCCACCCTCAGGCCCTTCAGTTCAAAGTTATGTCTCTTTAAAGCCCTCTGAGGACGACTGGCTCTGTCTTCCCTATCCCACCCTGTCTCTTAGCAACTGCCTCCACTCCGCCCTGTCTACCCTGGCTCCCGGCCCTGGCTCTTGGGCCTTCACCCTTTGCCTCCAGCTCCTGACTTGTAAGCCTGTTGGGCTACCTCCTACTGGAGCGGTTGCAGGTGGCCCCAGCCGGGCTCCTGGCCGGCTTGCCCCACCCATTTCCTTCACCTCCTTTTTGGGCAGTCTCCTCCCAGCTCTCCCACTCTGCGCCCCCTCCTCATTTGTCCTCTTCCTTCCAAACAGGAACTGTTCACGATATGTCTGCTCAGAAACCTTCTACAGCTCCCGTAATCACTAGGACCTATTTGGATCTTCCAGTCCCTGGGTCCTGCCTTCGGTAGGGGCCCTGAAGGACTTGTATAGAGAAAGGGCACTTCCCACAGCATACCCTAAATCCAGGCTCCGAATATCCCCCGTTAGACTGGAAGTCAAGAAAGCTAAGGGCTGAAAGTCCCTCTCCCCATCCTCTAGGAAAACAAAGACTGGATGGCAAGGCTATTTCCCTCCACACACGGACACACGGAGACTCCTTGTATCCCTGATGTCAGAGGCCGTGCTCTGCCATCAGACCAGGGACTCTCTCTAAGCGTGAAGGGCAGGGAGAAGGGATAGAGCCAGCTCCTCGCACCCTCAGCCCCCTGCTTGGACGCTGCCAGCGTCCCGTACCCTCCGTGATGTGGTGCCTCACCTCCACCAGCTGCGTGGCGACCCCCGCCAGGCAAGCCCCCAGCGCGGCGCCGCCCAGAGCCCAGAGTCGCCCCGCGCCTCTCCGCCGCCCGGCCATGTTCTCCCGCCGCGCGCTCCGGTGCAGGTCCTGGGAGCAGGGGGCTGATGCACAGGGCTGCCAGGTGACTGCCCCTGGCCACCGGCAGGCGGTGACGGTGGTGGCGGCGGCAGAGGATTCTGGCCGCGGGCGGTTGAGCCCGCATCATTTATTCATCATGGGTGTCAGGTTCCTGGGACGCCACCTGCGCCATCATGGCATGAGGGTAGGTGTGGGTGGCACCGCCCCCTCCTCCAGGCTCTCGGACTTTTGTACCTCCCACTCCACTCCAAGGACACTGAGGAAGAGGAAGCAGGGAGGGAGAAAGGGACAGGTTGGGGGTAGGCCCTTGATCAACAGGATCCCACCCCCACCCCCGTCCCTTCCCTCTTGGGCCTCAGTTTCTCCATTTGGGACAAGGGGAGGGGCTGGAATCGACTGATCTAGAAGGCCCGTCCCATTCTGAGCTCCTGAGTTTGGGGAGAAAATGGTACTGGACTTGGAAGGGGGCAGAGCGGGCATGTTGCCATAGTGACAGGCACTGAGGGATGTCCTGGCCTTTCTGGGCTGGCTTCCTGCCCAGAGGCAGCTCTGGTCACCCTGGACACCAGAGCAGGAGGGGGAGGGGGTATGGAGAATCAGGGATAGTATAGTTAGAGCTGGCCAGATGTTGGCGTTGTGGAAGGACCCAGTAGCTTCCGCTCCACAGGACAAGGTCAGCTACCCATGAAGGGCCATTTTCTGACCCTGCTGACCGTCCTGCTATTGCCTGGGCCTTGACTCTAGCAAGGTCTTGAAGTTGGTCCCCTACACTGTGGGAGCATTGACTACTCAGGGATGGAGCTTCTGAGCAGCTGTGGAGACCTGGGCGAGGGTCTGAAGCCCGAGGGGAGTGTAACAGTGGGAGCCTGGAGATGCTACGGCCCACTTCATCTCCCCTTCCTTCCTTCTTTCCAACACCATCAGCCTCTTGAGTGCTGGGAGACCAGGACTCAGCATCTTTCTCTCACGGAGAACAGCAGTGAAGACCCGCCCAGGCTATGTATGGGGGGACACCTCAGCAAGGCCTTACAACCGGGTCTCACAGGGCTCTGTCCTGGATGTACCCTTGACGATAAGGACTGAGCTAGGAGGCCTCAGCGTGGAGCAGAAGGCCAGCTGCCCTTCAGGGACTTCAGAGGACAGGGCAGGCAGGCAAATGGCTGCTGTTTGAAAAGGAGTACAGGCGGGGGAGGGGGCGGCTATTAAAGAGAGTCTCAACAGTAGATGGCAAAATCTAGGGGTCACTTCTTCCAAAGCAAGCAGGAAGCAAAACAAAATCCAAAACCAACACACCATGATAACCCCCTCCCCCAGGAATGCTTCTAAAACCAAAGCATTAGCAACAGGTCTCTGCCTCCTAGTTCCACAAGCCTCAGCCACAGGCCAGGCCAAGGAAGGGCCACAGAAAGCTATACTGATTGCAGTGGGGGTTTGGGGAGGTGGAGCTAAACATCCTCAGGGCATGCGCTTAGAGAGGCAGGGTTGGGCTTTGACCAGGTGAACCAGAGTGACATCTGTTGCTCCTCTCTGCCTCTAAGTTCTGTTACAAGGTTAATGGCAGAGAAAGGGGAGTGTGTGGCGGCTCCTGGCTTTGAAAGCTGGCTGGCTCATCTCAGCAGGACACACAGGACTGCTGCTCCCTGGACTGCTTCCGCTTGCTGCTCAGCCGGAGGGCACTGCTGTTCAAAGTTCATTGTCTCGGAGGTGGAGAGACAGGACAGCTCAGCCGTTAAGAGCATTTGTTGCTCTTGCAAGGGGACCCAGGTTTGATTCCCAGCACCCACATGGTGGCTCACAACCATCAGTAACTCCAGTTCCAGGAGATTTGATACGCTCTCCTGAACTCAACAAGCATGTGGTGTACATCCGAGCAAAACATTCATACACATACAATAAAACAAATAAATTTTTAAAAATTAAAGTTCATTGTCTGGTTTGTCCACCAAGAAGTAGGGCAAGCCAGAACTGTAGCTCAGTGGCAGAGTGCTTGCCTGGCACACACAAAGCGCTGTGTTCAATCACCGGCACGGCAAAAATAAATAAATAAAAAATGGAGGGAAGGAGGGAAAGAGGGAGAGAAGCAGGCTGCATCTCTGCAGGATCTCTCTCTCTCTCTCTCTCTCTCTCTCTCTCTCTCTCTCTCTCTCTCTCTCGCTCCTGTTTTGATGTAGGGTCTTGCTGTATAGCTCAGGCTGACCTCAGATAGGGTCTCGAACAGAGCTGATGGCTCCCTGTTCATCTCACATGCCTTTGAATCCAAGTCCTTTTTATCCAACATGTGCCCCCTAGATTCCTCTTCCCATCACACACACACACACACACACACACACACACACACACACACACACACACACTCGTAATACTGTCATACAGGCTTCAAAATCTAATTGACTTAGAATAACAGGGTATCCCAAAAGTCTTAGTGTGGTAGTTTTAAGTTTTAATAATCAAAGAAGTATAAAATAAAGCTATGAACTTATAAGAAATGTCATCTGTACCACACACCTACAATCCCAGCACTCAGGAGCCAGAGGCAGGAGGATCACTGTAAATTTGAAGCCAACCCGGTCTACACAGTGAGTTCTGGGCCAAGCAGAGCTACACAGAAAGACAAAAGAAATAGCATTTGAAAGCTTACGATTTAAACTTCTTTCTTTTTTTTCCCTCTGAAGTTGGCAAAAGATGGATGTTAGTCAAAATTCACAAAATGTAGTTAATATAAGAGAATTTAAATAATCTTTTAAATTACATTCCTTATAAATTTGTTGCTTTATTTTTTTATATAGTATCTGTAGTTGCTAAAGCTTAAACTCTCTACCTTGGGAGGTAGAGAGAGGCTCAGGAGTTCAAGCCGTGAGATCTGTCTCAAGGAACACCACCCCGGAAAGCTTAAGGACACTGACAGCTGGGAGCCCTTCCGCTGGTCACCTGACCTTCCGTCCTTATCTGTAAAATAGGCACATGACAAGCCATTGCTAAAGGCTAGTCTTTATTTTTATTGTCATCGTTGAAGGTTATTTAATACAGTGTATTGAATAAGAGCAAAGCCATATATCTCATCTGACCAGCGCTCGATCGTGAGACAGTTAGTGCGTTTCCAGTGTTTCAGTGAAAATGAAACTTACATTCTGATCAGAATGCTGGCCTACACTTTGGTCTCCTCTGATTTCTCTCTTCCTTCCTTCTTCTTCTTCTTCTTTTGTTTTTGTTTTCTTTTTTGGTTTTTCAAGACAGGGTTTCTCTGGTGCCTGTCCTGGATCTCACTTTGTAGATCAGGCTGGTCTCGAACTCACAGAGATCTGTCTGGCTCTGCCTCCCAAGTGCTGGGATTAAAGGCGTGCGCCACCGCTGCCCGGCCCTTCCTTCCTTCTTTCCCTATTCCTTTGAGACACAGACTCACTTTGTGACATTGGTCTAATACTTGCTATGTGTCCAGGCTGGCCTCGAACTCAAAGAGATCTACCTGCCTCTGCCTCCAGAGTGCTAGGTTAAAGGAATGTGCCATCGTGCCCCGCAGCCCTTAATTTATTGGTGTGTGCATGTGTGGGTGGGTGGTGAGAGTGCCGTGGCGCGCCGTGGTGTGCCGTGGAGCTCAGAGGCCAATTTCGTGGAGTAGTTTGTCTCTTTGCAGTTCTATGTGGGTTCCTGAGACTGAACTCAGGTTGCCAGCCCATGCAGCTTTTGCCCTTTCTGGCTAAGCCATCTTGCCAGACCTACCCCGTTCTCTTGTGAGGGGGGAATCCCAGGAAGGAGCTGTGTTTAGGCCTCAGAAATTGCAATGCCCAACTCAGTCCTCTGCCTCTGATCCAGGGCTCTCTCCACCCTCTGGTATTGCTGCAGCTTCTTACAGCCCCACCCCACATGCCCCTGTACCCACCCCTCAGCTGGGCCCATCAAGGCTGGGGTGGGGGTGGGGGGTTCTGGCTTCCTAGAAGACAGCATCCCCTTCCTGTGTGGTGGCCTGAGGGCAGGCAGGCAGACAGCTACTTGTCCCTCCTGTGCTATTTTTATGTCATGTGGGTTTCCTGTGGGGACCCAATCCAGCCTCCAGGGCCTCTGGGTTGGAAGCCATGGGCAGGGAACTGAGCAGTGGCCAGGAGACCCCGTGGCCATTTCTCTCCAGGAGTTTGATACAATAGAACTCAAGGCTTAGCTTTGGAGAAGCGGGGTGGAGGGGGGGTAGTGAATGGAGAAGCCTCCACACACCCAGTCCCAGAGCCAGGCTGGGAGCCAGGCCACCATGGACTTAGCCTGGGGTAGGGGTGGGAGTTAGCTAGCCTGGGCCAGTGACACAGCAGCTGGGGTGTACTGGGAGCTGGCTGTCCCTGAACTTGTTGGCCCTAGGCCCGGCCCAGAATAGCTTAGGGCTGAGCCCAGCCTGGGACAGACCTGTATGTACATGAACATGAGCTTGTGTACCAAGACACAAGCACATTGCATTCTGCATGCAGCTCTCTGTGTGTCTGTGTGTCCATCTATGTCCTTGTAGATGGATGTACAAGTGGTCATGAGTGGGATGGCTACCTCGGAGTTGTGTAGCATAGAGGCCCCTACCTGCCCACCAGAGGAGGACCCATGTGGCCCAGTTGAGTATACACACTGACGCATTTTTCACCTGTGGAACTGCATGTATGCACATGACATGTGCACATCTGTGGGGAGCTGAAGTAGGAGCCCTGTGATGTCGGAGGCATGAGCAATGGATTCAGTAGACAGTCCTCTGTGTGCTACCAGAGGGGCAGAACCTGGTCCCCAGTCAAGGACTAACTGGAAGAGGCTGGCCAGGTCTTGCCTCATTTGGCAGATAATCAAACAGGGTGTGATGATGCCTGTGGGGTGGCTCAGTGGGCAGGGAAGCCCAGAGCTCAGGAGCCTTCCAAATGCCCCTGACCAGGAAGTCCCATCTGGTGAAGGAACCCGGGACAGTCCTTCCTTTTTTCCTGCCAGGCCCTGCCTCTCTTCAGACACTTGTGCAGACGAGGAAACCAATGCCCAAAGAAGGAAAGGGCTGGCTCAGGGGCACTTGGCACAAAACCAGTTCTTTCCAGCTCATGACCTGCCCCGCCTGCTAAAGAGGCAGGCAGACGGCAGAGGTAGAGAAGGAGGACTCTGGGGGAACGAGGCTCCCTCAGGGGCACAGGAGAGGGTATAGAAAGCAAAGCAGGGGGTGACTGGAGGGTGGCTGGAGAAATGGCTCAGCGGTTAAGAGCATTGGCTGCTCTTCCAGAGGACCTGAGTTCAATTCCCAGCAACCACATGGTGGCTCATAATCATCTACAGTGGGATCTGATGCCCTCTTCTGACATAAAGTCAATAGAGCACTCATATACATAAATCTTTAAAAAAAAAAAAAAAAGAAAGAAAGAGAGCAAAGCCAGGCTGAGCTGATAGCTCAGTTAGGCAAGTCCTTGCTTGCAGGCATGAGAAACTGAATTTGATCCCCAAAACCCATGTGAAAAAGCCAGGTGTGGTGGTGGACCCCTGTAATCCCATCACTGAGGAAGCAGAAGCAGAGACAGGCAGGCCAGTCCATCGAGCCTACGTGGTAGGTCAAGGCCAACGAGAGAGACTGTCTCAAAAATAAAAAGGACACCATCGGAGGAAATATAGCCACACATGCACACATGTGCATCTGCATACATACATACACATCGCACACACACAAAGAGTAATGTATTTACCTTTTTAAGAGTATTTAAAAGAAAAAAAAGAGGAAAGCAAAGGCTGGAAAGGGGGTCTTGGCCAGGTGGTGAGAGAAGAGGCTGGGGGAGGGTTCTTGTGGAGCAGCGTGGGGTGGGGGGAAGGTGGGTGATAGTGTCACCTGTGGTAGGGGCCAGGGCAACAAACTCTGAGTCTGGCGCTGTACGGCAGCTTGGCAGAACTGAAGCTCTCACCAAAAAGCAACCTAAGGGAGTCAGGGCTGCTAAAGTTGGATGTCTCTCTTCTCCCTGGCGAGATGGACTGGACGGAGGCTGTCCAAGACTCGGGTAGGGGCAGGTGGACCTTTGCTTTCTTTCTTTTCTTTCTTTTTTCTTTTACTTTTCTTACTCTCTTGCCCAGGCTTTTTCCCTCTGTGCTCAGGCTTGGAAGGGTTAGAACCAACTCAGCCAGGCCAGTCAGCTCCTAGAGGCCAGATGCCACTGCAGGTGCAGGGGTGAGTAACTTGCCCGCCAAAAAGGGAGCCCGGCGGCCAAACAGCAGCCCTCTTTGTTACGGGTTTGAACCATGATCCCTTCTCCTTCCAAGAGTTTGGTCTGGAACTGCGCCGCCTTTTCCAAGGTCGAAGGCTTTGGCACAGGAAACTGGCCAGCTTCAGGCTGTACCCGGAATGGATGCAGGGGGCTTCCTTCAAGGTCACACGCAGCAGAAGCTGCTACCGAAGGACGCCCAGCTTAGGGGCTGCGGGGCACCATGGCCGACTGCTCTAAGCAACAAGTTTCCCGAATACACCAAAAACTCCTTCGCGGGGGTGTGGGGGTGAGGGTTGGGGCTCGGTGACCCAAAAGGGGTCGGTCAGGTCCCAAAGCTGCAGCCTGGCTAGAGTCGGTGAGCCAAGCAAATCGGGTGGCCTCAGGCACCGCCCGCCGTCCTCGGATCCGGGAGGGGAAGGCAAAAGGCGACTGATAGCCAGAGTGCGAACCAGGAGTGCACGCCCGCCGGAGGGGAGCCTTTGCAGTCCGGCGGCGACGGGAGAGGCGCCTGAAGAGAGCTGTTGGCGTGGGAACAATCCCAGGCCGCGCTCCGCCTCCTCGGAGGCGCCCCCGCGCGGGCAACACCCCGGGGCGGGGCGCGCAGAGGGAGGGCGGCGGGGCGCGGAGCTGCGCGGCCAGTCGGGGCACCGCGG